AGCTATTAGTCAGGCATTACTGATGCTGTCTGGATTATACATGTGGGTGAATTACAGCGCTGGCCTGCGGCAGGAGGCGCGACCACACTGGAAAGGAGCGCTGGGCCGCCAGAAATACACGTGTCACTGGCTTACGACACCGGGCGTAATCGCGGTGATCGATCCGATTCTGTTTAGCGCGCTCCAATAAGCAGAGGCGGCGCGCCGTTAGAAAAAGCCGGCACGGGCAGTGTGATGGACCGTTTTCTTTTCTGCGCCATGGCGCTGTTGTAGGGCTGTTTTGACAAACACGTGTTTGATTCCGCGCCTCGGTGAATATTGGACTGGTTTTGGACGGCAGTGATTTGTAAGCACCGTTAAGCTCGAGGAATATCGACCATTGTTTTCCCAGCTTTGCAGACTTGCAGGAAACAAAGACGTTTTCGAAGGGAAAGATTGGAAGTCCGTTGACTCGTTGACGTTTTGCTGACGACGTGTTATTGGTAATTTATGCGTTGCTATCATGCCTTCATAAGTCTTGTACCTATGTCAGTTCATTTCGTGATTCCTTCTATGGATATGCAATCGTGATCGGGCATTGTGGAAATACCATGTCTTTGTTTCGAACTGTTTGCAATGCTTTCAGATATTGCTCAAGAAATATACATGGTTATCCAGCTATCGTTGAACTGCTGAAATTTACAAGGTCGGCGCCTGATTTAGACTGGGCTAGGCACGTGGTAGGCGACCTGTCACATTTGTGACAGTGCGACAGCCCAGCTGTGACTGTCCTCCGACCGTGAACTGTCGGAAGATGTCTGCCATGTCCTGTCATGTATTCCTGTCCTGTCCTGTCCTGTCCTGTCCTGTCCTGTCCTGTCCTGTCCGGTCCGGTCCAAAACTCGCGTCTTCTGCATGCAGTCGATCCCGGAACTGTCCTCGATCGATAGCCTGTCAGAAAAAGACGGACGTGACTTTGCTGCTAAAACGGAGCGATGCAAGTCGTCTTTTTGCTCTCCACACTAGGAAGGATACATATCAACTTTGAAATACCACAATGCTGTAAAATGGTATGGTGGCCGATGCCTGGTAATTTCGTGCCGTTTCTGGTTCGAGCATCGAGGAATCTACCCCATTGGCATTGGTTTCAAGCTCACCGCTACACCACTCTGGCAGATACACGACTCTGCCATCAGGGCTCGCGCTGCATTCCGTCCTTGCCAAACCGCCAAGGATCCTCCCTGCCCGGGCACGTCTGATACGCCCCATTCTGCAGTGCTCGGGGTGCTCCTATGCAGGTCAGGTGTCGGAGGTCGCCGGGTCGCGGCGGCGACCTTGCCCGGTGTGAGCGGTGCGGGGCGGGGGCGGGGCGAGCCCGGGCCGCCGCCGCCGCCGCCGCCGCGCCGGGCCAGTCAGTTGTTGTGTCCGCCCGCCGCCGACTGGCCGCGCCGTGCCGCTCCTCCGCGCCGAACAGCACGTGTCAGCAGCTCCGCCGCGCCAAACAGCACGTGTGCACCGCGTAACGTCACGTCACCGCCGTCAACAGGCACTGCCTACCATCGGGACTCGTCTCGTAATATTCCGTGACGTACGGTACATTTTGTTACGTGACTGCGCACGCACACGTGGCGCTGGATCCGCGTTTGGTGCCGCCCCGTCTCCATCCACCGGGACTGAGTGGTCGCCCTCAGCCGTTCACCGACTCCGGGATCCCCGGCCGCGAGGGTCGGACTCGGAGCTGCTGCAGTGACACGGTGACTGGCAAGGATTCGCGCCGATTGAGAGGCTGCACTTTACTCCCACGCCAGCCGAACCGGAGTTTCCGCGACCGCTCTTCTGTCGCGAGGTGGTGATTTTCGTCAGTTTTGGACCAGAACAGTTCCAGCCGTCTTCAGTTCTTCTCTGTCGCCAAACTCGGGACACTCGAGGCCTTGCCGAGCGGAGAGTGACATTGTGATTGTGTCACCGTTTGACCTGGTGACGCCCTGCGTCGTGACGCTCTACTGGTGACACTGTCGGCTGCCAGTGGTGGCCACTGGGCCGGGTCACGCCTCTGTGGCGGCGCGTGACTATGCGTGACGCGCGAATCTAGCATCCCGCCGTGATCTCCGCCGGCCGCGATGCGGATTCGATTCGTGGCGCCTCCCACGCCGGAGCCGTGCACGAGGAGACCCCACTGCGCCCGCCCGCGGCCAGGTACGGGGGATGGGCGCGGCCGGAGGCCGTGATTGTACTCGTTCTGTTTTCGGTGTACGAACGCCACCGCACAGTCCTTAGCGGTCTCAGAAGGGATGAGCCTGTCTGGGTATGTGTAACCGAGAACGATTTATGAGTTTTGATACGATTATGCTTCACGATGTGGTAGGATGAACCAAAGTTCTACCTATTTATACCCGTCACGTGCTGGGTGCGATGTATTTTTACACGTAATTAGACCCACCAGAAACCCTCGTTAGCTGGTTGTTGTGCTCGCGCAGCTTACCATTTTCTGCCGCTCGGCCTGTAATCTCTGCGGGCTGCCCGGGTGTGGCATATCGCCGAGCACAGCACCATTCCCTAATGCGATTTTCCGGCCGGCTGCGGGCGAACATACGTTTCGCTCGTAGTTTACCCAGTCTCCCGTAAAGAAACCATCGACCGGGGGCCGTCGGCGTAAACAAAGCCGGCTCAGAAAACTCTGCCAAAGTTTCCGTCCTATACGGGCGCTGTGGCTGGCGAGTGTGCAAACTTACCAGGTGGGCTGGGTAGCCGGCGCGTGTCGCCGCGCAGGGGCGGCGCTGACGCGGCGGCGCGGTGCGTGCGTGGCCTGCTGTCAGATTCGGGGACCCGCCCGGATGACGTCACACTCCAGGCGCCGGTGAGGTGTCCATCAGTGAGCTGTGACGTCATCCGTCCTGTCCGTCAGTGGATGACACGGAACCGGCCCGGCGCCCTGTGCGGTGCCATTGGCGGCCCGCTGTCGATGTCGTGCGCCCGGTGTCAGGTGTGCTGGTATCGTCACCTCCAGCCGCACTCCAACTCCCAGGTCCGGTCATCCGCCCCAACACGGCACCGCACTCGGCAGATACCGATCATTCACAACGGCGAAATCCCAATCGGGCGCGCTGCTGACTGCTGAGGATCTCACTAGGCATATGACGGCCGGCCGGGGCCGACCTGTCACGGCCGCCTCCCAGCGTCTACCTGTCACCGCCCCCACCTGGGTCCGTCACGGACGGGACGGGGGCGGGGTGCGGGGGGGAGGGTGATCCCGTCAGGTCAGACCTGGGGAGGGGCGAGACGGCACCGATCCTGACAGCCCCTCGGGCTAGAGAGGCCCGTTGGCGTAACCTGAAATGACCTGGCTGACCTGGCGTTATCCCAGCCGCCCCGGTTTGCGTCAGGCTGACCTGAGGCCGGCTGACCCCTGCTTGCCGTGCCGCCTGAAGCGCCGCGGTGTGATGGGCCAGCCACGCCTCTGTGCAGAACGCGTTTCACCTGTATGGGATGTCGTGATGGCAGGGGCGCAGTCGGAATTAGGTTGACGGAAGGAGTCGTGAGAAGGATTAAATGCTCCATAATTGGGACATGTCTTCGTGACTTGCAAAAACTATATAACGAGCTCGGCATATATGTTACGCTCATCCCCTCCTGTTGTTAGTGGGTGATTTGTCAATGGAGGTTTTTATCTTTATCGATTATCTACCTTTGAATAATCCAATGTGAACCCTTTTTCTTGGAAGCTGACGCTTATGATACGGCTGCAGTCTGTTCTGTTTGCCAACGGTTTTTGGTGCAAAAAAAAAAACAAACTCGGGCACCGCCAGTGCAGCGTATCTCAAGTTGTCAGCTAGTGTCTGTCTATTTATCTGAGGTCAGATACCCCCAGCCAGAGCCTCACTGCAGCTGGGGCCATTCAGTCAACACAGGGAGGGGTGTCGTCCGCACAGGAACGTGCCGTAACCGACCCGCCCAGCCGCCCGGCGCTGTCCCATTCGCAGAACGGGTATCCGAGCAGAGCGCTCTCATGGGGCGCTACGCTGGGGCAGCTCGTGTTTTAGCATTCCAAAGGGCCGCTGTTGGACGTTTGTTTGTGGTTTTAATGGCATAATCGCTTTAGAGCAGACTGCAAATCATGTTTGTTAATTGTCTGGTGTCATTGGCCATTAGCTGAGTAGAGTTTCTCATGTTGCACGGCTGCACGATATGAGTTTCTCACATGTCTCGGTATCACGCTTCGCCGTCTGGAGGCATGCTCTGGCCGCGGCGGTGTGGTTTTATTTAATCCATTACTCGTAGGGCCGCCTGGTAATTTCATTACGACTGGCCGAGTGTGTGCTGGGTGTCAAATGATACCCACGCCGGCTCATCAGTCACCATTATTACTCGTCGCTCCATCTTCGGGGCGTCGTCTGCGCCGGGCCGAAATTGACGCCGGGACCGGGGAGTTGCCCCTGACGCGCTGATGGTGACCTAATCCAGCTGTCGGGCCCTCGGTGTTTCCCTCACCGCCGGTGGAGTGGTCATTATCAGCAGGCTAGGTCATTAGGTCGAAGTAACTCCCGGCGCGTGGCCCGCGCCGTCTGACGATATCTGTCATGTGATCAGCACGTCTGAGATGTGCTCCCCCTGACCGTCAGTCACACCGGACCGGTACCGAGTTCTCACACTCTCAGTCTCGGCACCCCGCTGAGCTCCGCTGCAGTACCCTGTCCGCCGCCCTGACTTACACCTAGCCGGGGCCCGCCAGGAGCGGCTATGGTTATGAGGTGTGCACTGCAGGGTCAGAGGAGACGCATGTCCGAGGTCACGCGCGGTCAGAGGTCGCGCAGAATGGTGAGCGAGGTGACATTCCTCGCTGCGTTGGGTGGCTCCCCGCCGTGACAATCCGGCCGTCTGACCGTGGCCCCTCACCCTTCCCCCTCCCCTCACTCCCCCACGCCTCTCTCCTGCCTCTCCCACGTCTCTCTGCTCTCGGTCGTGATGCACCGATGATCGGTGGATGTGTACCGGCCACTAACGCCCTCCCTCTCTCGTTGCAGACTCGTCCTATGAGAAGGCGGTCGGCCTGGGCCGTGACTCGGCCCCCGGCACGCCCGTGCTCGGCCACAGAGTCACACCCGAGCCCGGAGCGTCGCGATTCACGGTGAGTCCCAGTCGAGAGTACTCTTTGACTCTTGAGTCACAGTATTTTCAGTCACATGGTAGTCCCTTACTTGATGACGTTGATATATTTACAATAATCAGCGGTCGAATTGCCGCAAGTTTGCATGTACTACAAATTTGAATCTGCGTCATCTGAATATGGTTGATGGAGATACTGCCATGTTTGAATAAAGTCATGTTACGCCTGGCTGGTAGCTTGCGTAACTCTGCCTGTGTTCCGTAAACTTCCCGTTTGCGGCAGACTCGGCTACTCAGCAGGTTCGGAGGCGGCGCAGAGATGAGGACACGACTTTAGCACAGGGAGTGTCCAGCAGCTCGATGACTGAATGCACAGCGTACCGTATATTCAAACCGCCGCCTTCCGGCTACTCAGGGTCGTCGGGGCGCGGGGAGCGGGCTGGCAGAGCTCCCCGTGGTTGGCATGAATAACGTGCCGTATGTCTCACCCCCGCCGCCCGCCGCCCGCCGCCCGCCGCCCGCCGCTGCCCGCCACTCTACTCCCGTGAGCCACCCCACCCGAGCCCCGGCGTTATCTCTCAGCCGAGAGGTGGGCGACATGACTGCCAATGTCATCGACAGAGCGTCCGACGTGTGCCGAGGGCCCCCGGCCCGCTTATATGGCGACAAGCTGCCAGCTTCTATTGCGGCGCCTCGGACAGACGCCGCTCGAAGGCGACGTCTTTATGGCCGCGGTGACATTTTCGGATTCTATTGGTGACGTTAAATGTAACTCGATCGATCCGGGCCCGGTCCGATCCGAAGATAGCGGCGTGTCAGGTTATCGCGTTTGTTATGTGACAGCACGCCGATGTGAAATGCTAATTCGGCGCAGATTACAGCGCCGTTACGTGATGCAGTGCGAATCGGCAACATAACCGTCCATTTACGGCTGACTACATAACTCGGCGCTTAATTTGAAAATTATTGATTTAGTTTCAATGTTTAATTATGCAGCCTTGAGCTGCCTCGGCTGCCAAAGACCACAAAAGAAAACACAGCGTGGGTGAACTGTATTCCAGGCACGTGGTGGCTCTGGCGGTGGAGGGGGTGACACTTGCGCGCGCGCATACCTCACATGGCTCACATGTCGCCCGTCACCCGTCACCTGTCACGTGGGGGGGGGGGGTGCACGCGTCACGCGAGCACTCATGACGCCACCGGGGGCCGATTCCGCGAACCGGGCCACGAGCCCGTGTCGGCCGGCCGCGCTCCTCCGCGCTGCTCTCAGCTCCAACTCGTGACGTGCCGGACGGAGGAGCCCCCAGGCGGAGACGGGCCGCGCAGTCATTTTTATGCTAATGCCGCGCCGACCCATCCTGTTTCGTTGGGCGGCGGTTTGTGCGCCGGTTTGTGCGCCGGTTGTGGTGCAATGTCGGCTGCCGCGCCGCGGAGGGGCGGGTCGCCGGCGGAGGAGCGCTGACAGCCGCTGAGAGCTGGCGGGCGGCGGCACGGCGCCGCTTACTGCGTCACCAGTGCGGCGGACGGCCGTTTTGGGCAGAGAACATCTGGTGGCCGCGGCCGGCGCGCCAAGACGAGTTTGGGCCGATGGCCGCCGCCCGCCGCGGGTGGAGTCCTCCCAGTTCCGCGGAGGATGATCATATAACCCGCTCTCAGAACCGACACAATAACTACGTACGTTTGTACTACAAGCAAACAGCGAAGGGCGGGTCCGAACGTTGCATTGATGAAGTCATCAACATTCGGATTTTGGAAGAGTAGGAGGCACTCGTGGAGATCAGAAGACTGACGTTTAAGGCGGTGCTGTCGATTGGCGCTGGTGACGAAAGAGACGTTGTTTCGGTGCACCGGCTGCGCTGACGGGCAGTGAAATGCCGTCATCGGGACGTGCGCAGGCCGGCTGTCGCTCCCCCGCTCATGGCGTCACTGTCCGCCATCTGCTGGTGAACGGTGGGCGAGCGGAGCAACTGGCTACCGTGAACAGCCGTTCCCGCCCGGCAGAACCGACTGATTGCCTGTCCGGCTCGACACGGGGTGATGTGATCGGCCCACTCGCCCGGTGTTGGAGTCCTCTGGTGAAACGGTACCGATCACTCTCTGAGCCGAGCGGCACGGCGCACGCAGCTTTCTCTGGGCGCAGCGGCTGCCGGCGTCAGGCAGACGGTCACGGTGGCCAGCGGTCAGCTTGACCATCTAGTGGCCGGGACTCGAGAGGATATCGTGAACAGTGCTCTCCGCCCACAAACATGCATCGTTGCATAATTATAGTTGTTAGTTAACATCCCTCTCGTCACAGTCAGGCTAGACGTCTTTGTCCCTCCCTCCGTCGGTTTGTCTACCACTGAGTCACATCACTCAATAAGTCGGCCGGTTTGTTTGTATGGGAGTCCCTGTGAAACCACGAGTTTGACATCTGCGGACTCGGGGTCAAGAGGTCACCGTCCTCTCGTCCGTCGCACCCGTTCCGTCCCATCCCGCCGACGGAGCGCAGCTGCCGCGATAGTCGGTGTCGACGATCGTCGGATGGTCGGCGTCGACGATCGCCGCTCCCTCGGCGTCGCTGACGACGGGGAGGGCCGACGGACGCCTCGTGTCGACGATCGGAGGGGATGATGTCCGATGCGACCAGCGGACGATACCCTGCGGACAGGAGGACGAGAAAAAGCGGCAGACGGGACGGCGGCGCGGATAGCACAAGGCTGACCGAGCAAAAAGTCGGTACTGCACGCTACGGCTCCGAGCGGCCGGCGAAAGCGAAACCAAACGGAGCGAGCGTCCGGTCACCATCAATCAGCGCGCCTTATCGGGAAATATCAAACGATAGCCGAGTGGTAGTCCAGGCGCGCGCCGACGGCGGAACAATTGAAAAGTACCTGCTTCGAGCGTAGTCCTCTCTCCTGTGACGTGGCAGTGTTCGTGAGATGATCTCATCTGGATATCTGTGGTGCTTTGTAACGCCCCGCTCATTTCTCGCTACGTCTGACGCGAGAGCGGCGCCGCTTTGCTGACGCGAGCTGAATGGAGCGGCGCTGTTAGCCTGTTAGAAGAGCAGCCGTGCAGTCGGCTGGTGGTCATACGGAGTATATTGCGGTGGTGAGGTCGGTGACCTGCCTCTGACCCGGCCGGTCGCTATGGTGGGGCTCGCCGACAGTCTGATTGCCGCCTCACGTCCAACGCCAGGCGACCGCCGCGGCGCAGCAGCCGCCTCCGCGGAGTTTGGCGACTCGCGGCGAGACAAACAAACTGCTGGGCCTCCTCACCGCGCGCCAGACTGGCTAATCAACCGCCAAATACAGAGCACTACCTGATGCGAGGAGCTCGAAAAGGAGTACTGCGGACCATCGCGCCTCGTCGACTGTGTATCTCGGACAGAGGCTGGGGCGACTTCCGAACAACGGCGGCGTGTCAGCAGTAGCAGCCGGCGCAGGGGAGGAAGCTGGGAAGTTCTGGTATATGCCTGCAGTACCGTTCGTGTCCCTAATTGCGGACCGGGGGCAGCACAGCGCCGGCGGCGACTATCCGCGGCCGATCGGAGGGCGCTGAGGAATGCGGCCCGGCGCCGACTGCCGTCTGTCAGCGCCGGACGGCTGACGCTCGTCACCTGCCGATGACGCCCCCCCTCCCCCCCCATCGGCGGGCGGACCGCCGGCCGGGCCCACCAGCTGGCTCCGTGAGCGATTGGAATGCTAATGGCGACCAATTGATTCTGCCCCGACACTCCTGATTAGAAGTTACACACCATTCTTATTTCGTCGCCTTGTGTGTTTTGTTTCGAAACTAACTATTCAGCATTCAATATGGAGAATGACCTGTCAAGGTCAGTTGAACTGGGGGCATAATTAGTGAAGTTTTTCTCTTACGAAACCTTGAACTGAAGTTCATCATACAGCGCTGCGGATTTCATTTCAGTTCATCTCCGCGGAACGCTGGTCAGTTCACTGCGCTCCCCATTTTCCGCGGCACATTTGGCACGGCTGCTCGGTGGGTGTGCCAGCGTCGCCAGTGCGTGGCGCAGGCTGCCTGCGTGTCCGCCTCCCGCGCTGCTGAGTGCGCCCGACTCGCCGCCGCCGCGCCAGGATTGCCACGCCCGCGCCGCGTCCGTCGCCACCTCTTGCCGGCGTCGTCTCGGTGACCCGGCTTTGCAGTCCGCGCTGACACAGAGTCAGCGGCGGCGGAATGAAAAACAAACACCCCGCGGACGGCCACAAAAGAAACGGCCCGCGACCGGTCTGCTCGGGCGAAACGAGCCGTCTCTGCTGCCCGGCTGCGGCGGTGCAGCGCTCCGGAACTGCCACGCACGTGCGCACTTCCGTAAATCTCGTGCCCTGAGCAGTAATCAATGACGGTCGTAGATCTAGCCAAGAGGAAATGCGTTTCGTCTGTCAGCCCGGCCCGCCCGCGGCGCTCATAGCCGCGGGGGAACGCACTCACTCTGCCGTCGCCGCGGTCGGAACGCCGCTGCCGTCGTGGCGGGGAGGAAGGGACCGGTCGTCGCCACCGACCCCGCGGGCCTTTCGGAGGGGAGCGGAAAGTATTGCCGCCGTCTCGATCGTTACCGACGGCGCGGTGTCGTGCGGCGCGCTCCGAATGGGATTACGGCTCCCCGAGGTACGCCGCAGAGGATAATTGGAGGGGCAGTGACGCGCCGGAGGGGCGCCGACTGATACAGCGCGCGCCGCGCCGGCTGGAATGGCGCTCCCGGGGCCGGGCGCGCACCAGACGGAGCAGTCGGCCCCAGCTGACGCCGCGAACAAAAGCACCTCGAGACGGGACGGCGGGGCGCCGACGGAGGAAGATTAGGCTGTCGCACTCCATTCCAGCGCGACTGCCGCGTCCGCGGGGGTCGGCGGACCCTCGCCGCGGCCATCGGTGCATATTGACGGGCGGGATGCAGTGGCTGATTTATGAGATTTATCCAACCCTCGCGCCCGTCTGCTGCAGCTTGGAGCCTGCCCCTATCGCGGCCCGTCCGCCGGCGCGTCTGACCGCCCGGCGGACGCGCGGACGACGGACGGCGTCCGCCGCGCACGTCCTACCGACCAGGTTTTTGTGTCGGTATCGGCGGGCGCCGACTTCCGCCGGTTTCCGTTGGATTTCGTTCTTATCTCGTGGTTTGACGTGCCCGGCTGCCGGAGCAGCTGTCCCAAGATGTCGCCAAGTTGGACGGCGCCGTCGGCCGCCGGACGGATCGAACGTCAGAGACGGGAGCCGCCGGACGGATCGGACGTCAGAGACGGGAGCCGCCGGACGGATCGGACGTCAGAGACGGGAGCCGTCGGACGTGACGCTGATCGATGTTTCGTGCTCACGGTCGGACGTAACATGTGCGCTGGGCTCAAATGGTCTTTTAAAATGCATGTTTCGATAGCCTTCGGTTTAATTTAATCGCCTCAGTCTAGTAGCGCCGCACGCGGGGTGCCAGTCTCATCGAAAGGAGCTGTCTCAGGGGATGAGCGTTATAAATGGTGCACCTTTATTCGCTGGCGCCCTTGCCGTGGGCTGTCCAGCAGGTGCGAGACGTTCATAGAGGCAGGATTGTCGTGACGCCATTTCACCACCGTGACGTCAGAGTGTGAATGGCTGCGGCCGGCTTCCTGGTTCCAGCGGCTTGACAACGCAGGAGGCCTGGCGTCACTGTGGTAATCCGACCCACATAGTGCGCAGCGCCGGCGTCACACTGAGCGATTTTTCCAGACATGTGTGAATGTTACCCTTGGTGTATGTATACCTGAAATCTGCTAACGTTTTTTCTTATTTGACCAGATGTGTTTTTTATCTAATTATTTATCTGACGGTTTGTTTATACTTATTGTTTGGATCGTCACGTTGGTCTTTCTGCTTTGTAGAGTGAACTGGAGTCGTTTGTTCTTTGTTCCAGAACTTCTTCACAAAGCGGTCTTTCAAAGGCAACCCGCTGAAGCGGACCAAGTCTGTGACCAAATTAGAGCGCAACCGCAGCAGAATCGATTCCGATGGGTGAGTACTGAGAGTCTGATTATAAAGACCTGATAAAGATCCTTGGTGGGACCTAAATACCTTCATCCCTAGACGTCCCTGTGGGAGTCAAACAGCGTGGGATGTAAGGCGTTACTGCGTGTAAATCGAATCATTGTGCGTCCGGTTTAGACTATTCCGCCGGGAACTTAATGCGATTGTGCTCCTAATTACATCCTACAGCTCGTACTGCGCAGTGCACTGTTTTATTTCCCATATCGTCAGCCTGGCAGCTTTGTGGTAATGACGGGTTGTTTAAAAATTAATGAGCAACTTGATTGCAATAAAACAGTTATGCTTGTTATTTTACCCAAGATAGTTATAATGGTAGTGCTACCCACTATGTAAATGTCACGCATTATTAGATAGCTGCCTCATATTTCATGTTCATCATTATTCTATGAAAAGACTTTGACTTAAGTGTACCTTCCACATGTGGGCTAGGGTTTCCTTTTGATAAGTTTGTGGGGCGAAAGTGAAACCTGCATTGCGCAAACTGGTAGGTATGATACATAAATTTGTTTGTTTTCATTAGTTACTTCCTTGGTCTAGGCCTAAATTGTTGGACATGTGAAGCTAGGTTCTTGAGAAAACGACATTTTTCGTTTTGTTTTTAAGAAGAATCACAGGTTGTAGTCATTTAACTTTTGATGACTTTCCGAAAGTTTTTAGCTTGTCCTTATGTTCTATGTAACGTGTTACCTACTTAGGTATTGGTTATTTGTTTGCATCGTTTATTCATTTAAAACACTAACAGTACTGCCATAACACCATTGAATTGTTCTTTGTGTGCTTATCACAACTTTTATCGGAAGACTGCATACAGTGATAAGCCTAAAGGTAACCTGTCAATTTCCGTGACGAATTCATTCGTCATGGGAGATTAGTCGAAAACAGGGTGGATCAGCATGTTGCCAAGTGGAAAGGATTTGCAGCCAAATCGACACTGTGTCACGAGTGGTGTCCGTGTATTGATACGATGGGTTGGTATGCGGCTGTCACACGTCACCGAAATGGCCCAACTGTCACACCGCTACAGTGATGCAGCTTAATCGGCTGTAAAATGGAGACGTATCGCTTCCCGTATCGGGCTGGGCTGCCAGCGCTAATAGGAACGATTACCGATTGACGTTTTAGGTGGCGTCCTGTCAAACCTGCATTAGGTATCGGTTGCTGACGCTGGTTTTCGTGAACAATTACTCACTTCGCTGATCAGAGGTGGTAATAAAAATACAATGCAAGTATAATGTACACTGCTTTATCGTATAATTTACCAATTCCGTCTCGCTACTGGGAGCACGGTTCGATAGTTGTCAACCAGTGGGTATTTTGCACTGCCTTTCACGTAATTCAGGATCCTTGTTCACATTACCGGATAAATTGTCGACAGTCTTCTGGTGAGTGTAGTAATTCTGGGGAGTGTATGTCTGTGCTTCAGTTGTGAATGTGAAATCCTAGAAATTCCATATAGGATCAGCTGACACTATCGCAAAATCAACAGATAGCATGCTTTGTGTGAGAAAGATAAAGGTACTTACTGCTTATCCTCTTTTACACATTGACGACTTTGTGCTGAGTATTGTACTTAGGCTTTTTTATCAATCCGGATAGACGTTCAGAGCCATTTTTGCCATTTTTTATTGCAGATTGGTCTATTCAGACTGTTCGTATTTAAAGGAAAACTATGTATGGTTGACGTGAAACTGACATAACATCGTATCATACAGCACGTGCACATCTTTTTATATCTGTTATATCATGTCCAAAGTATATGTCCTGTTGCCATAGTTTCTTAGTAATCCGTGTAGCGATGCTATTGACACTGCTCCGCCCATGTGCGGTGGGATATCTTCACGCACTGCTCCACGGTCGAGCCTGCCGGCCGGAGCTGACTGCTGAGGCCTGAGCGCCGCCTCAGCCGGCCTGCAGCAGCAGCAGCAGCCTTTGTTTTCTCAGTCGGCGATGGGGTTCGGTGATCCGGCCTCTGTCGTGTCGAGAGCGGGACGATCCGTCACTGGGCCGCCTCGGGGCCGACCAGCCGCCGCGCTGGGCAGACCAGAGGGGAGCTGAGAGAGCTGCTCCGAGCTGAACTGAGCCACGCCGAGCCAGAGAACCGGCCGCCGCGCTATGACTGACCGGAGGGGGGCTGAGAGCTGCTCCGAGCTGAACTGAGCCAAACGGAGCCAGAGAACCGGCCGCCGCGCTGGGCAGACAAGGGGGAGCTGAGAGCTGCTCTGAGCTGAACTGAGCCACGCCGAGCCAGAGAAACCGTCCACCGCGGACCGTTAGTCCCGCGGTGACATGCGCATTGCACACCCCGCGCACATGTCAATAGCTACTGCCATACAATAGTGCGTACCTAATCACCATTTTTTTTACTGCTTAGAAACAAATCAAGCCTTACAGGTCTCTGTTCAGTTATCAGTTGTCACTATCTAACCCCAGCTCCATAACAGGCAGCGCCCGCCGGACTGTGGCGTACGCCTATTCACGCAGCAGCGGCGTGCCATGCGGCACAGTCTATATCACGGCGCTCGGCTGTAATGCGGCACAGTCTATCTCACAGAGTTTAGCTGTACCGCGGCACAGTCTATTTCACGGCGCTCAGCTGTACTGCGGCACAGTCTATCTCACGGCGCTCGGCTGTAATGCGGCACAGTCTATCTCACGGCGCTCGGCTGTACTGCGGCACAATCTATCCCAGCCCGGCTGTAAGTACTGCGGCAGCCTCGCGCGCACTATCGGAAGACCGATGGGTGACCGGTGTTATCTCCTCTCGTCCCAGCTCCATCTCCTTCCCCAGCCGCCGTTCTGCCGAGCCCGTCTCTAGTCTACACAGCACGCAGCTCTGACACACGAGCTCATAACAAGCCCCACAAAGGGCTCAACATCGGCTCTGGTTGGTCTCGCCGCCGCGCCGTCCCTCCCGGTCCCCGCGGCGCGGGTCTCCTCTGTTTGTTTCTCTCCGACGTCTGGACGTGCCGTCGGTAACGACGCGCGGATCGTCGACGGAGCGCGCAGCCGCCTATAAATACGCTGCGTCGGAGACGGCGGCGGCGGGGGGTGGCGGGCCGGCAGTCGGCGCCGACGGCTCGACTCGGCGCGGCGCGTGTCGGACGGACCGGCGGCGGCGAGGAGGTGTGCGCGACAGCGTGCTCCGGACGTCAGAGTGTTGGGTAAACCTGCCGGCGTGACACGATGAGTGGCTCGACCTGCTGCGTGGGCGCCGACCCGCGCTGCTTTCCCAGCTTCGCCACGGTGCGACGGAGGCCGCGACGCGTGCCTCCGCCTGCCACAAGGTACGGACCGGGTCCCAGGCAGCCGTAATAGACGGCTCAGCGTTCAGGGCGGTGATACTCATTGTTCATAGTGTTTGGTCACTGTGGGTCAGAGATCTGGTCCGAGGCGTTATTCTAAGTGTCCGGTGAATTGGGTAAGATTCTGTCACCTACAGCGGCACAACAGTCATTAATGGGATGGCGCCGCGACCGGACATTAATTTTCTGCATCGTTTATAACGACCTTGGTAAAAGGAGACTCCATTAAACGCTGAAGGTTGTGCACAATGAATTACTGTTCATCAGCATCCTTGAAAGAAGGCTGCTCCTTCGCCAAAATACAGTGGTTTCGTGTGACCTTTGTTAGCTGATTTGTTCAGTTCTTGGTCGTTGACTTTTTTCGAGCGGCCTTCTGTCACCGAATACAATGCCGTAAGTGATTACGTGAATCGGTTCTGAGAAGTAGTGTGCTACTTTGCCAGCTTGCATGCGGCCAGGAATGCCAAATATGCTCGAGGATGTGCTCGCTCGTTTGTGGGGTGAGTGCAAATGGCACGAACTCGACTGAAAGCAAAACACAGACACCCGAGAGGAGAGCAGGCCTGAAAAACCGCGCAGTTATGCAACGGAACGGCAACTGGCCTTAGGGCTTTAATTGCATTTGTCATTGTACTTGCATTTACAGGAGCTGTGAGTCAATGTGTAACAATATGTAACACTCCTATACCTCAGCCTCAAGCATTCAATGGAAATGCTAACATATCTCACTGGTAATACCAAGCGTCTGATGAGGCGTTATAACTAGACACGCTCTGTATGGCCGCCAAGTGTCGCTGAACTATTTTCCGGGCCACCTCGGCGACACGTATTCCACCACAAACCGCCGGCACTTCCTCCCTTTCCACCGCTATTTCCGCGCCCACGCCACCACGCAAACTGCGCTAATTCCGTCCAGATGAGGCGCGTCTCCGCGGGTGTGGGATGTCGGTCCGCCGCGGCCGGCCGCCTCCCACGCACGCACCGCGCTGACTCACCGCGGCCAGCCCCATGACGGGCGGTCGCCGGTGTCGACGCACCCGCTTCCGTCGCCGCCGACGGTCGATGCGCGTCGGCTGAGGTGCACCGGACCCTCCGTCCGGCGCGGCCGGTCCCCCCCCCCCATCGGACGAGACGACGGAACGGCGGCGGAATAGCGGTCGCGCCCCGTTCCGCTCCGCCGGGTGAATGTGGTTAGTCCCCGCCGCCCGGCTCGGCAGGGGAGGCGATATTGAATTCAGCGGTCGTCGCCTCCGATGCCACCGCCGCTTCGCCGACATCTCAGCCGCGCCGCTACCGTCGCCACCGCGCCGCCGTCGCCGCGATCTCCCGCCGGGCTGGTGTCGATAACCCGCCAGAGTATAGTCGATCCCTGGGGCACCAGCAAAGGGCCCAGCCCCCGGGGGATTCCGTCAGGAAACCGAATAACTTTTTTCTTCTGTGTCGCCTTATTACATAACACCCGTCTGCTCACCGTTATTGACTCGCCGATGTGTGAAATGCGTGACCGAATCGGCCGCCCAGTAGGTATGTGACGTTAGCGTCACGGGGCGAGAGGACGGCTTAATCCGCGGTTGTCGTGTGCTCTCGGTGGAGAGGCCGGCGCGTGGGTCGCGCTCGGCCCACTATTGGTGTGGCAATGTCCACCGGCCGGCCGGCCGGAGATTGGCGGCCCGCTCATGTGATGACATTGGGCGCCGCCGATTGTAGCCCCGGGCGATAGGCGGGTCATGATGGCCCACCCTGGATCGGAGCGCAGGGGCGGCGGCAGGGACGGGGCGGGGAGGTGGCGCCAGGGGCGGCGGCAGGGATAGGATGGGGGAGGTGGCGGCAGGGGCGGCGGCAGCGGGCTGACTCGCAGAGACGCTACAGACAGAGCGGTGTGGTCAGCGGTGGTTGGCGGAAATAATCAGCTGCCGTAACGATGATAAGATGATAGATCCGACCGCCATGACTCCAATAGAGCTCGTCACGCGGTGATTTCAGGTAGTGTTCGGCGCCGTACGTGATTGAGAACGACACGGTTCATTAGACTCCGATAGGGAGAAATCGGCGCCAGGGAGAGCGCTGACCGTCCAAATCACGGAGACTGAGCGCTAGTCCGGATTGGTGACGTAGAAATTTGTAAAAATCGAAATTACCCGCCCAACCATGCGTGAAGATTCTTCCCTCGTCAAGTCCATCTACCAAAATGAAAACAATTTGTCGATCAACCCAGGCGCATTGCTGCGTTTTATACTGACCTTTTCTCTAACAACGGTCCCACTATAAACGTGAATAGGGCTTCCACAGATGGCAATCGTCACATCTCGCCTAACGATGATCGAAAGCAACTTCAAGGATCGAAAGGAACTTCAAGAGATGGCAGTTGCTGCCAAATTGTTTTCATCGTAGGCTCTTTATATTGACCGGCCAATTAATATTTCTCCGCAGCCTGGCTGGACAGTGTTTTCTGACGTATGTCGTCCATCTAATGCAATCAGCGTGGTTCTGCGTACCGGACTGCGTTTGTTCTCGCTCCTTGCCCGTCGACTGTTCGGTCGACTGATGTCTGTCCTACACTTACTCCCGGTCAGACTACAGAAGGTCCCCATCTGCGCGGGATGAAAGCAGCGTCCCGGCCGGATGTGGGCGCCGTTTGACTCTGTCTCAGACCGCTCACGGCTGCCCAAACATGCAGCCCGTTCTGTGCGAAGGGCAGACGTCTGTGCGGTTTCCTGAGGTCGGCGTCTGCACCGGCGACCGCAGATAGGACTGGGAGGAGAACGCGGTATAACGGTCGCTGAGCGCGATGTGCTAGAACTATAGAAAACTGAGAACTATGAGGCGGTATAATGATGATGTGTTCTTACGTCATGATGGGGTAACCGATACGTGTCACCGTGTTTTGTGACCCGATCTTGCCAATGATCTCACGTAACGCACACAGATAATGAAAGTAATGCTATCTGTTTGGCTGCCAGCATGTACCTCTCAGCGCTTTATACGGGGCACAGAGCTATATGATACCAGTTTTTCAATGAAATCTCATTCCAGCTCAAATGTAAAACTGAATATTTGTAACAAACCTAAAAAGCAATCCCAGAAATACACGGATCCTATTACACGGTGGGATGGTAGGATTCGTTTAATATTTGTATTTTATCAGTGTCTAACACAAATACCTGTTGTAGCCGAGCGTCTCCATCACAGCGCGGCTGTCGGCTCTCGCGATATGGGTACAGGGTAAGGCGTTTGTCGGTGCGTGTTCCAGATGCCGTCTGTCAGTTCCGTGCTGCCGCCGGGTGCTGAGGGATGTGTTGACCCGATGGGCCCCCCTGTGACGGCCTGGCGCCCCCCGCGCGGTGTGGTCCGAGGCCTGGCGCCCCCCGCGCGGTGTGGTCCGAGGCCTGGCGCTCCCCGCGCGGTGTGGTCCGAGGCCTGGCGCCCCCCGCGCGGTGTGGTCCGAGGCCCGGCGCCCTGTGAGCGGTCACAGGCGCGGCACATGTCTGCCACCACCCTGGGTGATACGGAGGGATCCGTCAGCGGACTGTCATAACTGGTGCCGGTGGTACAGGGTGGTCTGGAGCGGGCCATGTGTTCTATGTTGTGAACACCATTTTCTACTGTCTGCTCGTACCCATGTGTCACCATTCAGCCTTAATGTGTCTTCTAACCTGAAACCTCCTACACAACACTGACCGCGCCGTTCCCTCCCTCCCGCAGCCCGGCGCCGTCCCGTCTCCGCTCGTCGCGCTCGCACGAGTCGCTGCTCTCCGGCCACAGTATGGTGTCCTCCACCGAGCTTGGCGCCGGCGAGGTCACCATCAAGCCGCTGCACAGCTCCATCCTGGGCCAGGAGCACTGCATCCAGATCAGCTCACCCAGCGGCACCCGCTACTACAGCTGCCGCAGCGCCGACGAGCGAGACAGATGGATCCACAGGTGAGCGAACTGGGTGCGCAGAGAGGGAACCGATGGATCCACAGGTGAGCGAACTGGGTGGACAGAGAGGGGACAGAGAGGCGACCGATGGATCCACAAGTGAGCGAACTGGGTGCGCAGAGAGGGGACCGCTGGATCCACAGGTGAGCGAACTGGGTGAACAGAGAGGGGACCGCTGGATCCACAGGTGAGCGAACTGGGTGCGCAGAGAGGGGACCGCTGGATCCACAGGTGAGCGAACTGGGTGCGCAGAGAGGGGACCGCTGGATCCACAGGTGAGCGAACTGGGTGGACGGAGAGGCGACCGATGGATCCACAGGTGAGCGAACTGGGTGGACAGAGAGGGGACCGCTGGATCCACAGGTGAGCGAACTGGGTGGACAGAGAGGGGACCGCTGGATCCACAGGTGAGCGAACTGGGTGCGCAGAGAGGCGACCGATGGATCCCCAGGTGAGCGAACTGGGTGAACAGAGAGGGCACCGCTGGATCCACAGGTGAGCGAACTGGGTGGACAGAGAGGGGACCGCTGCATCCACAGGTGAGCGAACTGGGTGGACAGAGAGGGGACCACTGGATCCACAGGTGAGCGAACTGGGTGCGCAGAGAGGCGACCGATGGATCCCCAGGTGAGCGAACTGGGTGAACAGAGAGGGCACCGCTGGATCCACAGGTGAGCGAACTGGGTGGACAGAGAGGGGACCGCTGCATCCACAGGTGAGGAACGCTGCAGGTGAACAGAGAGGGGCCGTGAAAACATGACAGCTTTGATGGCTGTTGTCTGCTATTATCAGGAAGTGGATACGACTGATTTAATAAGAGTAAGACAAAGCGTTTTTGCTGCCACACCAGCAGCACTCATAATGGAAGTGGCGTTTGGCTGCTGTCATATGAGCGGACGGTAGCGCTCTTCGTATATCGCGTGACGTAGGTAACGGTGGACGGTAGGCCGTTCCACACGTGGTAGCCGGGCTGAGCGGCCGGGGGTCGGGCTGCGGACAGCCGTCTCGGCGGTCTCGCCCAGGGTCCGGCTTGCGGTGCTCAGCGCCGCCGCGGGCGCGCACCAGTCCTCTCACTGCGCCGATTCGGCCGGCTCAGACCGATGACGTCAAAATGCCGCCGTTCTCACGGTCGGTAAGATTTTTGTTTGGTTTACCGTCTGCTATTTTTTTTTGTTCCTCATGACAGGTCTAAAGTTGATGCATTCCTGGTCATTTTAGCGTACTTATGGTGGTAGAAAGTAATGCGGCTCGGATTTTGGATGAAATTCCTTTCTCCTGCTTAACATTTCAGAGCACTTGTGTGTTTAGTTGAAGAAGGATGCGGTTTACTGATTCCCAAACTTGATGCCCAGTAGTTCTCTCTTATCTGTCAGTTTGTGGGATGTATGTCTGTCGGCGATGTCCGCTAGCACATCAGGAAGTCAGCGAGGCTTACTTGCATTTGTGCTTACCGCAAATAAACGTGGATCCATTAAGCAGTGAAGCTTTAAATTGGGAGCGACTTTTATCACTACTTTTATGAAACGATTTCTGCTATTTTCATAAGTGTTGTATTTAAACCGAGATATCGGTTTTTTATTGCGTGATTGTGAACGACTGCTTCCGTTCAGTTGGTATTGCAGTCATTCAGAAATGCGATGTTAGCGGTTGCAGAAAACATCCTCATTGTCTGACGAAACTCATATGTCAAACTGAGGTTTGTGGAAACCGCAAAACATTGCTGCCAGATTTTTTTTAATCGTTTTGAGCATTGCCAATCGTTGTCGTGGTTTATTTGTGGCCTCGATCGCCCTGAAACATGTTTGTGTGACCTATTTTAGTCTCTGTCAAATCATCAATCATATCTGCTCAGCGATAGCGTGATAAAGCGGTCAGCACTGCAATTTGTGTAGCCTTTCGAGCGCCGATTTTTGTTCCAAAGACCTCAGTGGCGTATGGGGATCACGCTGGCAGAAACCCAGTCTCCCTAGCAAGGGCCGCTTTCTGACCGTCTTTGTCGGTCGCTGACGTCTGAGGGGCCGCGGGTCTGACGGCCCGGGAGTCGGCGGTCCGAGCGGCGCCGGCCGGGCCCGGTTAGGCGGCCTCTGACACGGAGGTGACATCCCCTGACAGCGCCGCTGGTCGGCCGACAGTCGGTGACAGTCGCAGACGCCACCACGTGCCGTGAGCGGGCGCCGCGGGCCCTTCCGAGAGCCGCCCGCCGACCGCTACTACGCAGCGGGCCCTACCCGCAACTGTCACGAGCAAATGGAAATAAAAACGCCCGGCCGCGTTCCATCGTCCATATGGGACGATTCGGGCGCATTGCAAAAAGTCTGCTCTCATCTATGTGCAAAAGCGATGGGCGCTGTCGACCGCAAAGGTAACGACGGCGCTCGTGTGGGTTCCCACGTTACGGGCGACCCGATCCATGACCGTGTGACCGCTGGCTGCTGACCGCTGATCGCTGATCGCTGACCGCTGACCGCTGACCGCTGACCGCCTGTCTCTCTGTCCGGCAGTCTCCGGCGCACCGTGCAGCCGAACCGGGAGAACATGAGGCGGGTGGACAACTCGCTGCAGATCTGGCTGCTCGAGGCCAAGACGGTCACCGCCAAGAAGCGCTACTTCTGCGAGCTGTGTCTGGACAACACCCTGTACGCCCGGACGTCCAGCAAGGCCAAGACGGAGCTGTGCTTCTGGGGCGAGCAGTTCGAGTTCAACAACCTGCCGACCGTGGAGAGCATCCAGGTCAACCTCTACCGAGAGCCCGACAAGAAGAGGAAAAAGGACAAAAATGTCCTCGTCGGTAAGTGAATGTCCCGCCTATCGAGATGGAGCCGGAGGAGGAGGGGGATTTTAGGTCACTAATGTGCGCGCCGCTCGTCGCGTCCCTCTCGTGTTCCGCCCCAGCGTCGCTCCGTCTCTGAACGAGGCGGCGCGGAATGCGTGCGCCGCGTGCCGGCCCGTGGAGACGCGCCGCCTCAGTCGGCGCGTACGCGCATCGGTGACATTCCCGGCGCACTGCCGCCCCCTTTGGCAGGCCGCCGCGGCCGTTATCTGCGCCAGAAATGCCGCGCTGCGCTACTTCCAGCCGTGTGTGTGTGCCGGTCTGGTCCTGCCGCTGGCAGTGGACGGCAGTGATCCGTGTAACCCTCCTGTTGGACCTCCGTTGATGACAGCCTGTCGACTTTCAGGGACCGTGGATATTCCAGTCAGCTCGGTGGACTCGAGGTTCTTCGTGGAGAAGTGGTACCCGGTCACTTTGGAGAAAGGCAGCAGCAACAAGCACCCGCCCAGTCTGAGGATCAAGTGCAGGTATGTCGACTGTTTGCCCTTTTACCGACCTACGATCCCGCCGCATTACTGAGAAATCCCATGTAGCGCGCAGTGACTCAGTTTGGAGTTGTATCAAAGGCCTCTGGTAGAGCAGAGCGGCGCCCGCCCACGCAGGCTCGGATACCGGCGCGTGTTTTTTGTCGGCCTATATTTATTGGTTCATCGCATCCCAGACAGACAGGACATCAAAACAAAACGGCAGCGATATGCGCTGTCTGTTTATCTGATGGGCGCCTGAGGACGGGTGGGTGAGAGGGCCATTGTCCGGCCGAGTTTAGGAGCGGCGGCGAGACGAGCGGCGGTAAAACTGAAACTGTCTCAATGGGCGACAGACCGGATGTTGAGACAACGTGTCTGGGTCGCCACATCAAAAGAGTTGACGTTTTATAGCGGAGGTAGTCGGACGGTCGGATGATACCATTTTCAGTCGTTCGGCATGACCACTAAACATTCGTGTGATATGTTGTAGTTTGTTAGGCGGTATATCACCGTTCGATATGTGGTGCCATTACGCTGCATCACCGGTCCGCCCCATGGGTAATGCATTTAATTTTATCGGGCGTTGCAGACGACGGCTCCCCATGTTGCACCACGCGGAACTGCTCAGCTCAATCAAATCCGCGGCCCACACTCGGATGCGTCACACTACGCCTCCCTTCCTCTGGCGTCTGAGACTACATCGTCCTAACCACCCCACTCATCTCTGCAGCCAGCAGCCGCGTCACCGCCTAACTGCCGCCCCCGCCCGTCCGCCCGCGGGTCGTTTGACTGCCGGCTGCGTGCGTGTGTGTGTAGGCCGCGGCGGCTCGCTGTCGATGATACTGAGGCGGGGCGGCCCGACTGGGCTGTTTGCTCAGCGCGGGGCCTGCCAGGGACGCGGCCGGCACCACTCTGTGCTGATGGGTGGCACACACCTGCCGTGCTGGCCGCGGCCGCGTAGGCACGACTGTGTCGGACCGGGCCGTGTCATGCATACGCAGGGTGCAAATTCTTGAATAAACGGAAGCGATCTAATGATTTTGTTTTCATTGAATAGTACGGATTGAGTAGCGACAAGCTAGTTGCGTGGGTTAGGCCTAGGCGTATATGGCTTTTCTAGCTCTAAAGAAACCTCTGCTGCGGCGCACTCCCGCTGGTTTAATTGAAGCGGCGCCGGTGACTCACTGGAAGACTCCGCCGGACACCTCGGCCGGGGTCATTCTCTGAGTCAGACCGCGCCCGACACCTGAATTTTACCTCGTTCGGCGCCCATTGCCGGCGGCCCAGCACGGCAATAAATCCACGCGGGCGGCGCAGAAAAGTTCACATGCGTCATTCGCAGCCAGGAAGGCTGGCGAATCGAGCAACCGTTACTCCGTATTTATAAAACGGCAATGATGAATGAATGTGCATATATCATGTGTGTTGACTGTAGTTCTAGTTACGCTTACTTTGTTGGCATAAGCAATTTCAAGTTTCGGAGGTTGCTGCTATTTGAACCACAGTCCTTAATATCGAGCTGATATTTGTTCGGCCTTAGCCAGGTGGTATTTCTAAACGCTGTGCTATTTTATCTCGAGGCCGACTGTTGCCGGGCACATCTTTATTTGACGACCCGCTTACGGCACCGCCTTTTTGCCGTAGACATATCAAACGAGCAACGTACTTAATAACTACATACGTGCGTAACAAGTCTGTTTCTGTAGGAGGTCATTACCCCTCAGCTGACCTCCGCCTCTCCCCCTCTGCCCAGGTTCCAGGCGGTGGACATCCTGCCGCTGCACGCCTACCAGGAGTTCCTCCAGTACGTCACCTCCCGCTACAGTCCGCTCTGTGAGGTCCTGGAGCCCCTCGTCGGCGTCAAGAGCAAGGAGGACATTGCCACCGCGCTGGTGCACGTCATGCAGCGCGAGGGTCTGGCCAAACACCTGCTCTCCGACCTCGTCTGCATGGACGTCAACCGCATCGGTAAGCGGACCTCCATGGTGGCTGCGCTGGGTGGTGGCGCCCGTCCGCTCACATGCGCTCAGTAGCGTGTGCGGAGAGTGCTTTCCCAGACGCCTGGCCCAGTTTCGAGTGTTTGTTGTTGCGGCGCGACGCCTAGTTGTTTGGTGTTTGCGCGAGTGTTTTTCTTGGGCGGCACGCATATCCATAATTGAGTTGGATTGGTTTACTGGTCGCCGTGTTTATTTATAAAGAAAGGTCCTGCCAACCAGCGACTCTTTATGAGGTGCTAGATTAAATGCCGCTTTTCAGGGACTATCTTGGAGGTATTTTATCTACTGCTTGTCATATGATTCTCTCTCGTATCCTTGAGATCACAAGAGTTCCGGTGGCTGGCTTGTCTCTCATTCATCACCACAAACACCTGTATCATGGGACATTACGTCCTTCAGCCTATCTTCCGCCTGCTGCGGACGGTCCCTCGTCCCTAACCGTAACCCCCGCCCGCCCCTGTCCACAGGCGGTCCCCTCGCCTCTAACCCCACTCTCACCCCTCTGTCTTACAGACGACGAGCGGCTGACGTTCCGCGGCAACTCTCTGGCCACCAAGGCCACCGAGGCCTACATGAAGCTGGTCGGCGACCGCTACCTCAACGACACGCTCGGTGACGCCGTGCGCCGCCTGCTGGAGACCTCCAGCGACCTGGAGGTGGACCCCCTGAAGGTGGCCGGCCCGACGGCGCTGCAGAAACAGCGGGCCAACCTGCGCGCCGCCGTCCAGGAGATCTGGGCCAACATCCTGGCGTCGTACAACAGCTTCCCCCTGTGAGTTGATTGGGGGAGAATTGTGAGCTGATGGAAGAGAATGATGACGAAGACAAGTAATGCTAATGGTCATTACTGTGATCACGCCGCCGACCTTTCGATATTGTGTCGCTAGTTAAGGTGCTGGGGTTGCAATTAAATCTGATTAAGGTTAGTTCCGTGACTGATTTGATATGCGGAGGAGGCAGGCTATACCTGTGTGTGATTGCGTAGGATAAAGTCAGTGCCCAGTGGCGCCGGTGGCTCGCATATCCGTTATTTATAATTGATTCCTCAGCTTTGCAAGCTCTTGCAACGTATTGTATTGTCTCTGCGTGATTAAAAACGAATATAGCTTTAACGAAGACTCCATGCAGCAACGGATACATGCGGGTGGCTTCGTGTTTCCGTATCTCGATGCCCTAGTGCTATTGTGATCGTGTCAGGGCCTCGGTCGACATTACATTGCCGTCGTTCTAGGTGGCCGTGTTTCGGCGAGTGTTTGTGTACAGAGTACAGTACCTGCAGTGCCTGCGCGCCTCTCTCCGATTGGTCGGGTCAAGTGGTGACGTTGTTTGTTCGGCTGATTGCAGAGAGCTGAGGGAGTGCTTCTACCTGATCTGTGAGAGGCTGCGCGAGGCCGGAAAAACCGAGCAGCTCGAGAACGTCGTCTCGAGCTGTATCTTCCTGCGCTTCTTCTGTCCGGCGATTCTCAGCCCGAGTCTGTTCAACCTCACACAGGGTAAGGCTGCGGCAGCCAGACTTTGGCAAAGACACGTGATGTAGCCGAGCTGAACTCAGTCGCTCCTACAGGCTGGCGTGCCCGGCATCCCTAAATGGGTGTCGGTTTGGTGACTGACTGTCTAAGCTCGATCGGTTCTCTCTAATTGTGGCCGGTAGTCGAATCGCTTCTACTGAATGGCATGTTCTTTTCGCCTAAATGTCAATGGTTTTCAGCACGAAACAGCCATTACGTATACGGGTATTTACGTCCATTAGCTGCGATCGAATGATTTGTGAAACGGCATACCGATCTGAACAGACGTCACGAACCGCCGTGTATTTTTGTTTCCGCAGAGTATCCCAACGAGCGGGCGGTGCGCAATCTGACCCTGGTGGCCAAGACGCTGCAGACGCTGGCCAACTTCACCCAGTTCCAGGGCAAAGAGAACTACATGGAGTTCCTCAACGACTTCATCGCCAAGGAGACGCCGGCAATGCGCACCTTCCTGATGAAAATCTCCGTGAGTGTTATCTCTACAGCCACTAATTTAAACGAAACCGGGCCGACTGGCCCAGCGTATTTATTTTCAATTCGCGTGACGATAATGTCGCATATGCATCAACATGCATGGCGATTATGGTAATCAAAGTGCACCATTCATTGTGAGTGGCGTCATGATGCGGCGTGCCTTAATCTAACCAGCTCGTGCAATATCCTGTAATCTCGTGATCCCATTTGACCCGGATCACATCCTAATTGACCCGGCTGACCCTTGTGACCCGTGTGATCCGTCTGACGGCGGCTCTCCCGGCTCCCGCAGGGTCCGGCCGGCCGCGACTGCCGACAACAGGAGTGGGACGGCTACGTGGACCTGGGCAAGCAGCTGTCGGTGCTGCACAGCCTGCTGCGCGAGACGGTGCCCAAGGTGACGAACCCGGCGCACCTGGGCGAGCGGCAGCGTCTGGACGCAGTGCTGGCCACGGTGACGGCGGCGCACAGCCAGCCCAACGTGGACCTGGTGTACCACCAGCCGCCGCCGCCGCCGTCCGCCGCGCTGGCGCCGCCGCCCAACTACCTCAGCCTGCAGAGGAACATCTTCAGGTGAGGGGGAAGGGGGAGGAGTTATATAATTGCCTTACATGAGGCTGTTGGAAGCTTTATAACACAGCTGAGTCATGTTCAGTTTATGTCTACAGCCCTTAGGTGTTCTGTCGTGTGCCGTTTATTTTCGCTCTGTGCAGCCGCTCGTTGGTCTTGCACCAACAGTTTAACGACAGATGGTGTTCATTTGATACCGAGCCCAGCACATCGTTACTTTTACTGATGGCAGTAGGCCCTGCAAGCTGCCCTGTTGCCACGCCGGCCGAAGTTATTCATAATTGATTACGTCGTCCCCACAATCACCGCCGTGTCACTGACCACCCCGCTCCGTGTGGTCAGGTTTAACGACCGCACGTCGTGTCCGGCGGGCGCGGTGGCGGCGCCCCAGACACCGCCGTCGCCGGCCGCCGGCGGGCCAGAGAAGGCGTCCACGCTGCCGCGCCACCTGTGCCCGCCCGGCTCGCCGCGCCGGCCCGCCGCCGACCTGCAGACCTCCGACGACTACGTGCTGTACAGCGCGCTGCAGCCGGGCCGGCCGGCGCCCGCCGGGGCCGGGGCCGGGGCCGGGGCCGCCGGACCCACCCCCACCCACCACCAGCACTTCCACAACCACTCGAGCGGCCACTACGCCGGCCTGAACAACAACCCGCCGGCGGCCGGGCGGCGGCCGCGCCGGCCCGACGACGAGGTCGGCGACCACTCGTCCGGCGAGCTGGAGCACAACGGCAAGGGCTCGCAGATCTCCATCTCCCAGCTGAGCAACGTGGCCTCGAGCGGCTACCAGAGCTTCGCCTACAGCCAGAGCTCGAGTCCAGTGGACCCGGCCATCAGCGGCCAGCAGCTGCAGCAGCGGCAGCGCCAGCGGCAGCAGCAGCTGCAGCACACGCCGCTCGCCTTCAACAACCCCATGTACCAGCTGAAGGCCGCCAACGGACAGCTGAGGAACGCCAGGTATGTACCCCGCGGCCGCGTGTGACACATACGGACCATCAGTCGGCTCGTCCATACGTCTGGCCTATCCGTTATTGTGTCGGTCCTTCCTGCTCGTCTTTTTTCATTCTCCTCTGCTCCGTTGTCCTTTCTGTGGCTCAGCTATTCGTACCTCGGCAGTCTGTTTTTCTGTCTGCTGTTCTGTTTCTGTCTGTCCGTCCATCCTCCCTCCTGTCCGTCCCGATCAGTCCATGTTATGGTGACGGCGGTGCCTTCTGTCGGCGCTGACACGTCTCACGCTGTATCCCCGGGTACGCTGCCGGCTGCCAGCTGGCGGTCTCCTATCGCCCCCCCCCCCCCCGTCCTCCTCGCATCAGAGGCGCTGGCAGTCGCCCAGCAGTGTGAACAGTCGCCCACTCGGCTGACAGCGAGACCAATTTGTAACGCGAATCACTCGGGGATGATTGAGGGAGCACACACAGCAATTGGGCCAAGGATTTGAGACGGAACGGCAAAATTACCGCGGCATTGGTGATTGAGGGATGCCAAAGGTCGACCCGAGTGGAGTTGTAATGGTTGTTTGGTGATCATCTGTCATTTGTCACAGTAGGGTGACGCGAAGAGTTTATTTTGAATTATATTTGTCGGCATTTCTACAGGTTCGCGATGTTCACCTTGACCGTAGTCTATTGAACCATGATTGGTGGTCTTTTTTTCCTGTGGTGGCTCTCGAGTCTGACCTCCGCCTCTCCTCCCTAGGTCGGCCAAGTACTCGCCGAGCAGTTCGCTGAGCTCGTCGCAGAGTATGGAGGACGTCCAGCTGGTGATGTCTCCGTCGGTGGTGGCGCCGGCTGAGCGCGCCGCGCCGCCGCGCTCCTCCAGCAGCTCGCCCTCGCCGCCGCGCGAGCGTCGCCACGCGGGCGTGCCGCGCACCAACCCGCGGGCTGCGCCGCCGCCGCCGCCGGCGCCCGGCTCGCCGGAGCCATACGGCCGGCAGCGCCGCGCCAAGGCCGCCCGGCGCACCTCGACTGAGGTGCTGGCCACCAGGCGGCAGCACGCGTGCGACAGCGACAGCGAGAGCAGTGACGAGGTGCGGCCCGGCCGCGAGACGCGGCTCAAGAGCAAGGCCCGCCGCAGCCGCGTCCCAGAGAAATCGTTTGAGGAGGTGAGTTTGGCGATGCCGGCAGCTTGCCTTCTTAATGACGAAGCAGATAGCTGACCCCTGCTGGTTTATCTCCTGCAAGGTGTTGAATTTAGCACAACATTCAGAATGTCAGAAGAGGATTCAGTCGTGCTCTGATCATGAGCGCACTGTTTCGCGTCATGCAATGCTAATAAGCACGCCGCCCCATTCTGCCGTGTCTCCGGCGCCCGCTCATGTGCCGCTCTGTATCATAGCCGCTCTCTCCCGGTCCGACAGTACGAGGACGAGATCCACCAGCTGCACCAGCAGATGGAGCAACTGCACAGCCGGCTCAACGAGGCGTCCCGCAAGTCGTCCACGGCGCACACGTGTCCGGCGGCGCCCACCCCCGGCCAGGTCACAGAGATCCTCAACAGGTCAGTGGGAGGCGCAGCGGCGCAGCGGCGGGGGTAGCCAATAGCCATCGCGTGAGCAGGGAGGGCGAGAAGGGTGTCACGTCAAGAGTGTTTCTGTGAGGCTAGTGTGTAGGGTGATATTCTTTCCTCGCTTTCTTTATGGATATTCATGCTTGCTGAATGTGTGCTTGAGCACGAATTCGATGCACTTTTCCTGCAACGGACTATGCCTTGACTGATGAAAGCTATTTCGTCAATAACTGTGGCTTTCCTTGCTAACTCACTGTACCTTGCGACCACACGACATCGCACCGCGCCGTATACGGACTGTCCTTCGTCTCCCCCTCAGGCTGTCGCTGGAATAGAGTGTCCCTACTCCCACACCCCTCGCGCCCTACACCGTCTTACCTCCCCGGTCTCCCCCCATAGGCTGTCGCTGGTGGAGAACGAGCTGCGGAAGGAGCAGAGCCAGCTGACCAGCGTGCTGACACAGAAGGAGCGACTGATCGAGGCCCAGCACCAACGCATCCAGGAGCTGAACGCCGCTAACAATCAGCTGCACAGCGCGCTGGCCTCGCTCCAGGACCGGTGAGTTCACAGACACACTGACCACCTCATCAGCTGCCAACAATCCTGTGTTGGTGCGAACTGAACGCTGTCGGTAATGGCGTGTACGGTGTGTACTGTGTACTGTGCTGTGTGGTGGTCAGTTTGGTTGGTGGAGTTTGCGGTTTTTCGTTGTTATTTGCAGTTAACAACATTTGGTCTCGCGCGCAGGTTCATGAAATGCGTGACTGTCGGATATCTCCTAATTTTAGCTTCTGGGAACGAGAGTGGTATTACTTTTCGGGTATATGCACTAGTCTGATTATCAAAAGAAGAATACTGATGGATGTCATAACTCATTTTTCATTGTTAGACTCTTTGTGGTTATCAATAATCGGATATAGTTCGATTTAATCACAGAAATTGTTTCGAAATCTCTGTAGTTAATTATGTTTGGTTTCGATCCCGGCCGATCGGCGGGCTGCGGTTCACCAGCTGTGGATAGCCGGCGTCCCTGGCAGTCGGCGCTAACAAGGCTATCGAACTGGCCACTGCTTTGACGTCAATACGGGCCACTAGCAAAACAAGATTATCAGATAATGTGGCCGGCAAGACAGGTGTCCGAACGGTGCGCCGGGCCGGGGCAGTTTTAACCCGCCGCGCCTCGCTGACCGCTCGCGTTCCTGGCATAGCTGGTGGGCGCTCGGCGGCCTAAAATACGTCCCGACTGCAGATTGGCTGTGAGTTGTGCCGTCCGCTGTCGTATGTCTTCGGATTTGGGTTGGTCCAACGAGCTCCATTCGTCATGACTGCGCAGTCCGCTGAGCGCCGTCTGGCTCGCCGAAGGGGTCAGTGGCGCCGGACGCTGCTGCGTGGTCGGAGCTGTGGATCTACGCTTGTCGGTTATGGACCAAATGACCCGTCTCGTTTGTCCGATATGCACGGGCCGTTCCTCTCCGTGTCTCGTACAGTAAAACTGACACCCCTCTCTCGACCGGCAGGTCGCTGCCGCTGTGCGCGCCGCGGTCGCCGGCCGTGTCCGGCAGCGGAGCCGCCGTCTCCGACACGTCCGACTACAAGAGCAGCTCGTGCTAGGCCGCCGAGTCGGCCGACCGTTCCCCGTTAGACCAAAGATGTTGCGCTGCGCGGCGGAGCGCCGCCCGGCGGCCCAGTATTATCAGCCGCTGCCGCCGGCCCCTCGGTGTCGCTCGTGTCGCCGGCAAGCAGCCGCCTTCGAGTCATTAGTTGTTCAGTCACGAGCGCTTTTGTCCACAACGAATCGCATCGATGTTCTCTGTCATTCGCGCGCCGCCGCCTCGACTAGAGGCGGCCGGTCTGCGTGACCGTTTTGTCCGCTTGTTTGTGTGTGCGTGAGTCGTGTGAGGTTGGTTCGTGTCGCCGTCTGCGCGCGCGCCGGCGCTGCGCTGGAGAGAGTGCGACCTTTGTGATGTTCTCATTGTGCAATGCCCCATCACGGCGTATTTATTCGAGTGTGTTCTGTCGGGCGCCCACGGCGCAGCCGCTGCGCGCGCTGGCCCCGCCGGCCAGCGCTCTATGAGAGGGCCGCGCGCTGTGCGTGAGGCCCAGCGGTATGGCCGAGTCTCGGCGGAGCTGCAGTAATAAACCTGTGTACTCAGTGTGATCGGCGCCTTTCACTCACGACCTGCTGCCGCTCGGTCACGGTCAGGGTCAGGGGCGGTTCGTGAGCCGCGCAGACGGAGGGAGTCCCGAGTCGGCACAAGGAGCACCACATGGCCGGCGCGGCGGCCGTCCGGCCTTCGCGGCGCATCTGGTCGCGGCCGCCGCACGCCGCGGCCTTGTCTGCCGGGCGACCGCTTTCGCTGCGTGCGCAGCGCAGCGGCCTTCTCTGTGCCGCCCTGTGAACCGGCACCGCGCTCGTTGCCTCATCATGTATTGCACACACACATACAGACAGCGCGCGGCGGGCGGCACAATGGGAGTCTCGCGCCTCGGCGTGCCTGCAGCCGTCAACCGGGCACACCTGACCGACTAACTCCACCAAAAACTGGCTGCGGGAAGTACGACCGGCGAACACAGCGTGCCTGGAAGGTCGCGCCGGAGAGGCGCAGTTTTTGTGTATGTGTGTCCACACGTTACCAACAGCTCCGATGAAACGGGTCTGGATCGGGATATCTCGGCTGGGCGCGACACGTCTCAGCAAGCTGTCGCTGGGGTGCGATTGAACCAAGGATTGAACATCGTGGGTACATTTGACATTAAGATCCTCCCTTTCCTATACGATCGCCATCATCCTGAACAAAGCTCGAGCTCCTCACGGTTCTCGCTGCCCCGCACTCATCCGTTGTTTCTACAGACTCTATACTGCCTCTTTCGTTCCTCCCAGCTCACTAAGTATGCGTTCATCGTGATTCTCCTTTCGTTGCTCTCTGATCACTGTTGTGGGGCGGCGTTTGCGTGGGTGCTGTGCGCCGACGCCGCCCGGGTGTAGCGCCCCTCCCGGCGCGCGGCTGGACGCGCCTCTGCGCCATGCCTCTGACTGGGCGCGCCGCTGCGACCGGTGCGGCGGCGAAGGTCGAGGCTGCGGCCCGAGGGGTCAGACGTGTGAGAGGTCGAGGGCTGGAGGGTCGCCGCCCGCGCGTGCTGAGTGTGTACGAATACACGAAGGACTGAGACGCTGCCTCTCAACTAACATTGGCGCGGTCAAGGTAAGCCTTTTCGCTCCTTATTTCAATGAATATGCACTGGTTAGCGTGATCGTTTATACGACACAATCGCCTCCTATATCGATTGCCGATATTGCTCTTTGGGTGATTCCGACCTGAAATTTATCGGGGTGTGGTCGTTTCCGATTAGCTTCTTGATAAATACCAGGTCGTTTACAATATTCACAATACGCCTTGAACCCGGTTATTTTTCTCTGCCGTACATAATTGTAGACATTATAGATAATCATAAGGTGATCGTTTAGCGACACCACACTGAGAATATAATTGATTCTGTCAGTAGAGGGCAACTGAAATGGCTAGTGAACTGTATATGAAAGTTCACAACACAAAAAAATTTAGCGGTCTGAAAGATGAAAATTGGGAAACATGGATATTTCGTTTTGAAACCCGCTTTAGTGAGCTGGACGAGACAAGCCTAGCCACTGTGCTGCTCGATGTATTAGACGGCACTGCCCTCGACGTTTGCGGAAAATTAGGGAGGGATGAGAGGAAAAGTTACAAAATCCTCAAGGGCGCGTTGCAAAGGAAATTTGGAGCCAACGTCGATCCACGACGCGCGAATGCAGAACTCCGTCAGGTACGTCAACAACCGGGAGAAAGCACGGAGGCGTTTGCAGATCGCGTCCGAAAGCTTACAAATATAGGAAATCCGGGACTGTCCAGTGCTCATCTCGACCAGACAGCCTTAGAACATTTCTTGTGCGGCCTCAGTGACCTGAAACTGCAAGAAAAGCTGCACAACGATGACGCTGTGCTGTCTCTACAGCAAGCCATTCGTGTAGCCCAAAAAGTCCAAGAAAAAGAAAACACCTTGTCTGTTATGCGCACGTTAGGTGGTCAGGACACGCAGACGGTCATGCCCTCCAGCCACACTACAGCCAGCGAAAGCCCACGGAACACAGGAGGCGACCGCACAGACACAACAGAGGTTCTGGCGATGATTGGTGAGTTAAAAGACGAATTAAGGGAGGTAAAGGCTCAAATAAAACGAGGCACAAACGGAACACCAAACGCGATCAGCAGCAATCAGCGTGGCTGTTTCCAGTGTGGCGATACCAACCATTTCAAGCGCAATTGTCCGCAGCTTTTGAACAGACGCCAGCCAGGGCAAGTTAGGCCCCCGGGGGCGACAGCCGGGAACCGAGGGACGGCACCCAACGCACCTAAGAGCCTACAGTGTTTTGGATGCGGGAGACGCGGACATTCGGTAGCCGAATGCTGGAGAACGCCGGTTTCGGCGGGTGGCCTCGGTTTGTCGAGCGCCCCACAAAACATGGGACACGTGAGCTGTTTGAATTGCGGGAGGCAAGGACACTGGGCGGCCGACTGTTGGAGACAAAACGGTGGCAGGAGTCCACAGTACCCAGCCGGACCACCCCAGAGCATGCAACAGGGAAACGGTCAATGACTGGTGCTGAAGGGCAAGCACCAGTCGGAGATGAACAAGAAGCAAGCCCCAAACGCGCTTCAGCGATCAAAATCGAAGTCGAAGGACGCAGTGTATGGGCCCTCGTTGATTCCGGAGCCGATGCGTCAATGATTGGACAAGAATTCGCCCGAGCGGCTGTACAGAAAGGAGCGTCCCACAAAGGAAATTTTGGAACAATAACGCAGGCAAACGGGCAGAAAATACAAGTCAACACACAAGCAGAAGTGTCGTTCTCGATACAAACCTCGCAGTTCATCCAGCCTATGTTGGTCATTCCAGGCTTGATCTACCAGGTCGTTCTCGGCCGAGACTTCTGCTGCCAGCACAAAACAGTGCTAGATGACAGGGCAGGGGTTTTCAGAGTGGGGAATGTCGAGATTCCTTTACCAACATATTCTGAGTTACGACCGCTACGAGCAAGGGTGGTCACTTGTGCCTCAGTCACCATCCCCGCTAGGTCTCAGACCCTCGTTCAGGCCGAGGTCGAGATCCCAGATGGAGGCGTTAAAATCACTAAAGAAGCCACTTGGGAGGGTGTTCTAGAACCTCACTCAGTTGAGAGCAGCCAAGAGTGGAGGGTCCCTCGTTTAGTTGCAGAAGTGACGAGCGAGGCAACCGTGCCGGTTCAGGTCGCCAACATCGGAGGCAAGGCAGTAACGATCCCTCCAGGCACAGAAATCGGTACACTGTACTCCATTCAAGAAAATGGCAAGGGTATGTACGACGTCCCGAGCCCTTCAGCGGCTTCAGCTGAACTCAGTGCAGGGACGCTCGATGATCTCTTAAGCGAGCTCAAACTCGAATCTACTGCCCTTTCAGAGAGTGGCAAGACCTCGCTAACACAACTTGTGTCACGATACCAGGATATCTTCAGCACGGGAGAGTCCGACATTGGAAAAACAAAGCTTCTACAACATCACATCGAAACTGGAGGCGCGGCTCCGATCCGACAAAGGCCACGACGGATCCCAATGAAACTAAGAGAAGAGGTGGAAAGACAAAAAGAAAAGATGTTGAAAGAGGGAATAATCGAGGAGAGTTCCAGCCCTTGGTGCTCACCCATCGTTCTGGCCAAGAAAAAAGACGGCAGTTTCAGATTCTGCGTCGATCTTCGAGCAGTGAACTCTGTCACCCAAAGTCTGCCAGTCCCTCTCCCGAGGGTGGATGACAGCCTCGACAGCCTCGCGGGGGCAAGCCTGTTCTCCACCCTCGACATGGCCTCAGGCTACTGGCAGGTTGATGTCGCTGAAAAAGACCGAGAGAAAACCGCTTTCAGCACGGGAAAAGGCCTGCACCACTTCCGGTCCATGCCTTTCGGCCTCAAGAACGCTGGAGCCACGTTCCAACGACTGATGGAACTAGTGCTGGCTGGAATGGACTCAAAAAGCTGCCTGGTGTACATAGACGACATTATTGTCTTCGGAAAGGATCAAGACGATCATCTCAAAAACCTGGAGGAGGTCTTTCAAAGGATCAGGGCAGCAGGGATGAAACTAAAGCCAAGGAAGTGCTGTCTAGCCCGCGACGAGGTAGTATTCCTCGGACACAAGGTGGGGAAGAGCGGTGTGGAGCCAGACCCAGCAAACATAGAGAAGGTGCGTCACTGGCCTCGACCACAGAAAGCCGAAGAGCTGAAGAGTTTTCTAGGGCTCGCAGGGTACTACTCGCGATTCGTGCCCAACTATTCTGACCTCGTGCGACCCATCAGAGAAGCTGCTGAGAAAAAGGGTACTGTAGAATGGACTGAAGAGCTGGTGGAAAGCTTTGAAAGCACTAAAACGAAGCTGACGTCGGCGCCAATCCTCACCCTGCCAACCTGCAAGGGCGAGTTCAAGGTTGCAACCGACGCCTCCAACACTGCAGTCGGAGCGGTGTTGACGGAGACCATCAACGGCGATGAGAGGGTGATCGCCTACGCCAGCAAGGTGCTCAACAAGAGTGAACGTCGATGGCCGACGTATGATAAAGAACTTTGGGCAATTGTATGGGCTATTAGACATTTTCGCCCATATTTGGCTGCCACAACGTTCACGGTGATGACGGACCACAAACCGCTCAAGAACATTCCCCGCTCGATCAATGTCGACGGAGACGCCACGGGACGACGTGGCAGATGGGCAATCGAACTCAGCACATACGATTTCATCGTTGAGTACCGAAAAGGCTGCGACAATGGAAATGCTGACGCTCTGTCGAGACCTGTCGCTGACGTCACCGACTCCACAGCCGAGACTGAGGCCAAAGAGCTTCTCGCAGCCGACCACCAGGGCGGTCGAGAAGACATCCCCCTCGAAAAGCTGCGATTCGAGCAGGAGCTCGACCCCTTACTGGCTGAGGTCAGGAACTGGTTGGTAGCCAAGAGGCTTCCTTCAAAAAAAGAACTAAGGAAAAAGAACAGCTCACTGCGTAGCATGGCTCGATTATTCGACCAGCTCACGGTCGAACAGGGAGTTCTAAAACTAAGGCGACATGGCGACAGCGACAACTCGGTCATTGTTCTTCCAAAAACCTATCATGAAACAGTCCTGAACATGCTACATGACGATGTGACTGCCGGTCATCTGGGAACCGACAGAACTCTCGAGAGAGCAGCAACCAGGTTTTTTTGGCTGGGGATGAGCGGGGACATCGCCCGCTACTGCGAAACTTGCGAGACCTGTCAACGACGCAGTCGCCCAGCACCACAGATGCAAGCAACTCTCCGAACCGAATCCTATTCGAGGCCATTTGAAAGAGTGGCTATCGATATCACCGAGATGCCGATGTCGGCTCGCGGTAATAGATACGCTTTAGTAGCAATGGACTACTTTACCAAATACGTCTTTGCCTACCCCATGCAGAACCAGACAGCTGAAACTGTATCTGGCTGTCTTCTGGACATGGTATTGCGGCAAGGGGTGCCAGAACGCCTTCACAGCGATCAAGGTCGCCAGTTTGAGTCTGCGGTCTTCCAGTCCCTGTGCAAACGACTAGGAATCGAAAAAACTCGGACATCACCCTATCGGCCTGAGAGCGATGGCATGGTAGAGCGCTTCAACCGCACACTCAAGGACATGTGCTCGAAATTTATCAAACCGTGCGGATCTGATTGGGACGAACATTTGGCTTTCCTCACCTTTGCATACAACACGTCCAAACACTCGGTGACCGGATTTACCCCATTTTTCCTCGTGCATGGGTATGAGGCACGCCTGCCAGTCGATGAGCTTTTCAACCAGAAGCGCGACGTGTCGATGGTCGACACGCATGTCGAAAACAAGCTGCGCCAACTCAGACATGCATACAACAAGGTTCGCGAAAACATCGACAAGGCCTCCAACGACATGACAAAAACACAAAACGAGTCGGCACGAGAGGTTGAATATGTGCCAGGTCAAAAAGTGTGGGTGAGGGACCATACGGCTCACGTCGGAGGTAAACGTAAGCTGGCCCTTCATTACAAAGGCCCTGCGACCATTTTAAGAAGGCACGGTCCGGAAGGAGACGGAGTCACCTACAAGGTCAGCATGCCCGGTGGTAAGGAGACCAACGTTCATCACAATCATCTGAAACCCATGAAACTTCGAAGGAAAGACGATCCAGCCGAACGACCAGTTACCCCCGAACAACACGGACAGCAGACCACTGACGAGACTACGCCTGACCAACACAAACAAAGGACTGACGAGCGGGTATCTCGGGACTCTAACATGATCACGAAGAGTAGTCCATTTATACACTTTTTGCAGATGCCCAGTGATACGGCTGCGGGACAAACACCACAACTGACGAGCACATACACCACACGATACGGGAGAGTATCCCGGCCTCCGGTAAGGTATCCAGCCCTGTGAATGGCGGCTGTGTGACCTGTGACCCTAACTATGAATAAGTTAAGGAAGGAAACCATGCATGTCTGTCGATGCGTATCAATTGTATTATGCCGCCAGGTATGGACGCTGAAGGCGTGGAAGTTGGAGGAGAGGACGTCGTTCCGTCGACGGAGCGCTGCAGGCGTCTGGAGGATCGCTGCGTCGACCTCCAGGACCAGGTGGACGAGCTGCTCCTACGGGTGGAGGCCTTGGAGAGGAACCGAGCGCCATCTGGACCTTCAAAAGCGCCTCCAGATGGTAAGGTAGCCACCGCAACAGCAAAAAGCGCAGAGCTAGACGGGGCACCATTCGATCGTTCGATGGTGGAACCACCGATTGAACCCGACGGTAGTGAGCCCAAGGTCGATGCTGTCGACGCGCTCCTCGCTGAGGCCGAGGCGATGGGGCAAGGACAGTACGACGAGGACTTGAAAGAAATAATAAATATGTACACGTCCCCACGACCTGAGGACGAGGGTGCTGGCTTTGGGCCAGCTGATGAGGTGGCATCTGACCTGAGACAGCTGCTACAGGAGCCTGCTTTCCGGGTAACGTTGGTAGGAGAGGCGGTCCCGGGCTCAGGAACGGCGGCCAGCACGCGGCAGATGCCCCACCCAGCCCCGGAAGGAAGGCTGCACTTGATCATAGGGGATAGCCTAGCAGTGGGACTAAAACTCGCGGTGGGTGCAGGGGATTACATTCTCAACTTGGCCATTCGGGGGAACACTTGGAATAAAGAGCGGAAAAGGGTTCGGGAGCATGTTGAGCAGTGGCGGGATTCGGCTAGCGATCATAACCTCAGCCTGGGGAGGATTTTTGTGTGGCTTGGGGGGAACGATGCATATGGAAGGCCCCACGACACGCCTGTGGGTCTATGTCAGAATGATGTGGGCGCCGTGTTGGCTGAGCTCCAGTCTTACGACGTTCTGTTAGCAGGTCCGACTCCACGGCTGTGGTGTGACGCCGGAGCCCGCTACGAGGACACGGCGGCGTTCCGGGCGGACCTCGCCCTGCGGGAGGCGGCCCTGGCACGAGGACTACGGTTTTTACCGTATCTGGGCCGCGCGCTGACCTGTATGGTGAAGCGCCGCCATCTGGTCAGGAGCGATGTCGCGAGCAGGTGGTTCTGCCCGGACGGCATCCACCTCACCGCGCTCGGCTACGACAAGATTCAAAAGAAGCTTAGCGACACATTTGCCCGCTAAGTGCGCCAAGCTAACGACGTGCTCGTTATCGACACGCTCGATGGATGGCGAAGGGGGGAGGGGACAGAGAGACGGTGTCGTGTAGTGACTGCGGTGCAGGGCGAAACATGTGCGTTGTACTTGGGTGTTTGACGTCGCGGTGCGTCGTGGACCTCGTGTTGCGGTTGCATTATGGTCCTTTTTGTTGCGGTTTTGTTGTTGTTTTGAGTTGTATGTACATATTTTTGGAAGGATTGTGGGTCGAACCTTTATGGGGGGAGGTATGTGGGGCGGCGTTTGCGTGGGTGCTGTGCGCCGACGCCGCCCGGGTGTAGCGCCCCTCCCGGCGCGCGGCTGGACGCGCCTCTGCGCCATGCCTCTGACTGGGCGCGCCGCTGCGACCGGTGCGGCGGCGAAGGTCGAGGCTGCGGCCCGAGGGGTCAGACGTGTGAGAGGTCGAGGGCTGGAGGGTCGCCGCCCGCGCGTGCTGAGTGTGTACGAATACACGAAGGACTGAGACGCTGCCTCTCAACTAACACTGTTGTTCATCTCATTCACTGTTTGAGTTTTATGGGTCCCGCGTTCCCCATTCTTCGCGTTCTATCAATCAACGCTTCTCCAACATTCCTGTGCTCATCACAGATCTTGCTTTATCGTTCATTCTTCCTTTTTCCCATTCCTCGTGTTCATTACAGTACATATTCGCTGTTCCCCTCGGCCGTCTCGTTTTTCCGTTCCTCGCATTGCCAGCACTCTCCATGTCCTCCCTTTCCTCCAGGCTCTCGGTTGCACCTTCCTCAGCCTCCTTGCCCCGTTCCTGCAGTTCCTCGATGTTCCCAGTTCCTCCGGTTCCTCGCGTTCCTCTCGCCCTGCCGTCCTCCGACCCTGCCGCCGCTCAGGGTCGGGTATTCCTCAGACCCCTCGCTACTGTCAGGAAGCCCCAGCGTCGCTTCTTACCGGGCGGGGGCGCCATCATGGCTGTCACCTCCCCGATCTTTTTGCTGCAGTGGCAGACATGACAGCCGCTCTCGTCCAGCCTGCTGTCACACTCGTTCGGACAGCTGCCCTGGTAGCAGGCCGGGTCGCGGCTCTGGCTGACAGGGGTCAGAGCGGCGGCGCCCGGGGCGGGGTCGGCGCCGGCGGCGGCCGTCTCGGCCACTGGTCGGGCCGGCGCGTTACGCAGGCAGGCCAGGTGGGCGCACACCACGTGATTGTTGCTCTGGCAGCGGCACTCGTTGCAGTTCTCCATCCAGACGGCTCCCAGCTCACAGCGGAACTGGACGGGCGCTGCGGAGAAACCCAGAGGTCAGAGAACTGGTCAGGGTACAGTTGTACGGCACGGGATGCGCCGGGGCCATACTGGGAGATAGACGGACCCGATAGTGCCACAGACGGGAATATAAAGCCGGGTCGTCCCGCCGTAATTGGGAGCGTGACGCCGCGTCGGTTCTGGGTACACCGTGCGGTGGAGTTATCGACCACACTCACGCAGTGTATGGTACGAAGAAGCTCTAACGTAATATTCCTTTATGCGTTAGCGATTCTCGTTAGCTGGCCTACTGGAAAAGCCATTTGACAGCGGGGCAGACCGAGGTCAGGAGCCCGAGCGTGCAGAGATTGAGGATACGGCCAGAGTCCGTGCGTCTGCCGCGCCGTGAACCCTGGGAAGACCATGTCGCCTGCGCCGGTCAGTGCTGTGCTGGGCTCAGGCCGCCGCGCCGCCTGCAGTGGTCGACCCTGGATGGGTGGGCGGGCCGGCCGGCGCGGCGGGGGCGTGTCCGTCTCGGCGGGGGTGACCCTGAACAGAGCCGACTGCGTGGCGCCGCCCCGACACGCACTTCCCAGTTCCCCACACCGCTCTGCGCGGCCAGGGAGGGGGGGGGGAGGGCAGGTGGATCGAGTTACCCCCGGGGTCTGGCCGAGTCATACACATACACCACCGAGTCTCCTGCTCCGTCAGCCGACTGTGAGACATGTGAAATGATAGAGATTACCACTGCTTCCTTCATCCTTGCAAACGACCCTTCTTTGGTTGCTGGAAGAATTGGGCGATTATGGACATGAGTAGGCATGACTGGTTTGATATTAAATCAAAATAATAAAGACTGATATTAAATTGAGCCCTTCTGTAAACAAAATAAATACATAATAACCTACCTACTGTGACGTTCTGTCGCTATTCGTTACCAGCTGCATTCAACCTGATTCAACCTGAGTTTTTATTAACCTTTAGTTGCCCACCTAAAATACGATATGGGATGACCTCAAATGACTTCGTGGTGCAGTGAAATTAATTCTGTCCTACCATACCCCGCTCGTGTACCATGTCATGACCGTCCATCAACAAACATTAGACGCCATATTCTGCTCCCATTAATAATGAGACACAACTGAGCCGCAACTGGCTGCCGCTGAGGATAAACTATAGTAGACACTATAATTTAGCGCCTCTGACAGACATAAACAAAGAATGACTCAGGCGGCAGTGAGTCAGCTCGGTAGGTATAGGAGACGGGGACGAGTGACTCACATCCCCTGCTGGGCCACTTAGTCTCGCTTGGACGGCTTTATTTGCAGCCCTAAAACACACAGACCACTGGCCGCTTTGTTAGTCCTCTGCACCCCTCCTCCCCCTCACCACCTTCAGTGTCATGGGCGCCTCCCTCACTGCCCCTGCCCGCCCGCGAGGCCACCCGTTTCGCAAGCGCGGAGTTTCCCCGCGCCACAGGCGGCGGCTGAATGGCCAAGTGACTTACCGATTATTTTTCGCAGGCCGTGACTCAGCGGGCCGGGTTGGAAGGCTACATATTAGCGGCGTCACCGAACGACAAGGCCTCGCCCCAACCGGCGCGAAATCGCCGCACAAACAGGAGGACACGGGCATTATACTTGTGAGTTGTCGTGTGGGAGGATGCTGCTTATTATTGCGGAGTGGCTATATTAATAGAAGCATTTTCAACTGGTGAGGTTTTATTTAACAATTTATCACCCATAATTTTACCAATAGGTAGGTACGCGGGTAGGCATACGGAAGACAAGTCTTTATTCTATCGGTACATTTATCCCTCGCTCGTATAGGGGGGTCGAACGGGCCCCCAGGTTTTTCGCAAATAACTCGCGTAAAAAGCGGCCGATCGCGACGAAACTTTCAGTACTCTCGCGTTATTCATTTTTTACACCTACAATGAAAATGTCATGACTTTTGACCCTAATGACCTTTGACCTGTGACCTACTTTTCGAGACCATGTTTGGCCAAAATCGTGACTCGGCGTAGGTATGTCGCTCGCATTAGCCGCGCGTTTGCAGTCTTTTCGTGGTTTCGAGCGTTCAAACATGGGATGTGATGTTGCTCTCATTAGTCATTCATTAGGGTGAGTGTCAAAGTCACCTGAAGGTCAGGTCACTGACCTTTGATGACCTCGGTTCACTTTTTCCAGATTTACATGTTTCTAGGCCAGTTTTGGAGCTGAATTCGAATTTAGCAACCGTTTGAACATTTACGAAGCAGTTTTGGTGCATTCGTAACATGTTACGACGCCATGAGAGGTGGTTGACACCTACTACGACTACCCGGCAAAACCCCTACTGGTGGACCTGACCTGACCTGACCCGACCTGGTCTAAATGAATGAAGACATCATCTGTGATCAAAACTACCACGATATTCGTGATCAGCACCCCGATAAACCTTATAGCAGCCGCACTTCACGACGTTCTAACATGTCCCGATTTTCCCGACATTGGGGTTATTGACCTGACCTGGAAGGTCAACCAATGACCTAGAACCTTTAAATTGGGTAGCATCGGCTCCGTCTTGTGACGGGCAACACGCTCGTTTTTTTCCGCGAAGCTCTATCTCGATCAGGGGCGAAACGGCAAGGGGGCTAGTTATGAAAAAGATGATATCTTAACAGCGCTAATGTAAATACGTGTCAAACTATAAAAGAACCGACAGAAGTCAACGGAGATGAACGCTGCTGTGTTTATTTTGCTGCCTGAGATTTAAGATGAAACAAAAACTACCGGTAGCTTTGGAGAACTTTCCGATGAAGAATTAAATAATAACAATTATATTTTAACGGTGACTTTATTTGTGTTTTGCTACCGATGAAGGATCTGAGCAGGAAGGCATTAACAAAGCCATTGTCTTTTGAAAACAGAGCTGGGTATGGCACCTTCCTACCGAATTCGCTCACGCTAAGGACAAGGACGTGACGAATAGCTCACAAATGAATCTTAACTTTTCGCAGAACCGCGAAAAGATTCCGAACTTCCATTGCATTATTTAGGAGAATATGCTAAACAAACGGCCGAAACTAAAAGATAATTTGTTAATTAAATTGAAACAGCCAAGCAACTATACGGCAATCATGCATGGCATAGCTCTGGTACATTTTCATCCTTGCTGATACAAGCGTTCAAACATAGCTACCCGTACCTATCGTCGATTGGCGGCGTCGCCGGGATTTTGAATATCGCCGACATTGGTCATGACGGTCCGGCTGTATACGTTAATTGGCTTGTAAACGTCACCCGATGCTTTTAGCAGTACTCGGAGCTCTAAGTTGGCTTCACGTGGATAAAGTGACGGTATAGCCATGTGTGACACATTGGTAATCTCCTAACTATAATCAAATTACAAGTCGAAAACATATGGATGCAATTCAATTAATGCCAATACTATTTAGCATCCATAATTTTGGGTTATAGTAGCGATATAATTATTTCGATCGAACCCCAATAAATATCGCCTATCGATTTTCACACGCTGGCCTTCTAAGGGGAACTTAGGGGACCAAGGGTATTTGATAAAGCTTCAAGCTGTAGCAACGTGAAAAGAACCGATCATTAAAACATCGAGGTCACCCCCTTCGTAAAATGAAACGCTACCACACACTCATACTAGCAGTCAAGCTTGCTTGTCAATTTGCGAGGTCTAGCTTATACATAATAAGGCAATGCAATGCTTGAGAACATCCGTAATCTGGCCATTTAAGTCAAGTAATGTATGTAAGCCAAGGGGACTAACAGACTAACCGTCTCGGTCTCGTAACAAAAAGTCACAGCAGCTGGGTTGAGTTGTCCAAGTCTGGGACCTAGTGCTCATACATAGAGAGCTCAGCCGCCAGTGGCGCGGGGCACGGGCTGATGGCACTGTACCTATAGAGCTCACCTTTCTGCCTGGGCGCCGGTGCGGGGGCGGGGGCGGGGGCGGGGGCGGGGGCGGCTGGCGGCGGGCCCAGCGCAGCCGCCAGCAGAGCCAGCACGGAGGCACTCCAAGCTGCCGACATGTGGACGGCACAGCACGAACTGAGCCGCCGAGCCGCCGCGGCACGGCCGGTGCACCGGCCGCGAGGGGCGGACCGGAGGGAGGGGACGAGGAGGTCTTCCTGCCGGCACGAATCACGTGCAGACTGACCGGCGCCGCCGGGTCATGTGACCGACCGGCCGGCCGTGACGCAGACAGCTGTGGAGGTCGTGTTTTGTGCGTGTGGTACGTGTTTGTGAGTCTGATGGAAATACATAAAGTATTCCTGTAGGCACTGTTCCATCTGGGACCTGTTAGAAATGTTTGATGAACGTTGGGATTGGTGCCGTTAGTTGACTGAAAAAGGCAGGTAGGAGTCAAGCGCAAGCATCCTGTTGCTTGTCGAGTTCTCTCTCAATGCATCCCTGTATCTCAGTCGAACGCTTATACGGAGGTCGCCATATCACAGTTCAGACATTCGGCCACTGTTTTGCATTATTTACTCACAAATCGTCCGTCCCCGATCCACAGACATCAATCTCTCGAGTCTTGCTACTGATATAAGCAGTGATCCGGGAGCGGTTGCAGAGTGAAATATTTCTCCGGCGACCATCTGGCAGAACCGATAAGCAGCGGATACCATGAAAAACCCGCATCATTTGCAGTACTCTGAGATTGTATCAGACAAAGCTCCTATGCTGCCCGGCGAGTCTCTATTTTAGTCTGTATGGCAATGGCTGGATTTTTCAGACAGGACGAAATGTGCTATCCGTTTTCGAGCGCAGCGTTCGAATGCTTCTTATCACATCGGCGGGACGCCGCGCTGGTTTGGTCACACGGGAAGAATCGGCACGGGCTGGATCGCGCGAATACGGCACGGCCTGTTAGTCACTGGGTGCATGTCAGGTACGCTGGTGAGATACGGATGGATAGGGCACGTCCGGAATAAACGGTACAGAAAGCGCGCGGCACGACCGCCCGTGGACTGGAAACACCCAGAACAGAACACACATACATAAATGTTTGTGGTGTGCATATCAATGTCATTTGGTATAGGCATTGCATCGGAGTCAATATCGCCCAAAACAGTTTTCAGCTATTGCAAAGCATAAACCAGATAGCGGTTTTTATATAAATGGCTGTCTTCTCTATTCTAAGAATGATGTGTGTACGCCAAACATTTTTTTACTGAATATCCTGACACGATTTAATTAGCCAGTAGACGGAATGACTTGCCCTAAGATCGAAAAAGCAAATGATGTATAGTATGGCTTCACTAAAATGTAAGAGTGCCCAAATTTTAGTTCTAAATTTTCTATGCCCTCTGAGCAGTCGTGACACACCGTCAGAGGTGCTGTCGCACTCCCCAGTTGTGAGCCTGGGCGCGCCCCTGCGATTCCTGCCCGGCGGGTTTGGCTGACCTCTCTGGGGTCAGTCTGCCCTCCCAGTGAAGTGTGAACCACTCGCGTGGGTGACTCGGCACGGGAATAGCCTTGTGCCGATGGCTACAACATCTCGGACAGTCAGACTGCTTGGTGTTCCTGCAGCTGCTATAGGGATGGCTGAGGAACGACAGAGGACCGGGGAGCACGAGACCCGTCTACCGGAGCGCCTCCTGCAGCCGGTAAGTGACACCACCACACCAGCTCACGCCTGGTGCTCCCGGCCGGTACTGGAGCTACGGTCCCGCGGTACGTGGGATGCTAATTATTAGTGCATATTAGCTCAATATTTGGATCCCTTCTTTCATCATGTCTTATTTGGATTCTAATAAACCAAGTGTCTGAGCGATTACCCAGCAACCGCGACATAAATGCAACGGTCATAATCGAACACACACATGTAATTTCGAGCGAGGGAGCCGGCTGGCGTGTTCTCTTCTATGTATTATGAAATAGGTCTAAACTGCTCCCTATCCAAGGAATTTACCAAATGACATAAGTTTCTGTAGTCGGACACATGCAAAGATTACATCTTTATGTAACTAGTTATGTAATATCTGATGAGAATTGCAGGAATGACCATATAGGGAAAATCTTCCTGCGGGCCTCAGCCTTTCGAAATGTGCTTGGAAATGAGTTTCCGCTGCGCCAGTGGAATGGCCCCAAACGATAGTGTATGTATGTACTGTCCGCTTTGATGAGGTGAAGTTGCGCAGGGCGAAGGATAGGATAGGTCATAAGATAGGTCATATGATAGGTCATAGGATACTAGTTGATACAGGCGCTCCTCTGACTTTGTCGAGAGTTGCGAGAGATGCAGACACTTGGAACACTTCAATAGGGATTTAGTGGCTGTTTAAGTTTGGAATGTCTAATTTCAGTGGTCCCTTCAAACTGCAGAGCACATTGGCAACAGCTCCTTTTATGAACTATCGGCAGACTTTTTGTCAGGGCACCGCAGCCGGGCTGACATGGAGATATACTGATTACTGAACTGCTCGGCATCATATGTGGGCCGGGTCATATCGGGGAGATAATTTACTCAGGAAAGGTCGTCAATTTGTCGATTTAACTCATTCGTATTGATCCATTTCCCACCCCCCCCCCCTCCCCAAATGAATCGGGCCGCACCCTCGGGAAAGGTAATCAATTTTCCATTTCCCCCAAAAAATAACCACATGGGCCGCCCCCGGGTGGGCTCGAACCACCAACCTTTCGGTTAACAGCCGAACGCGCTAACCAATTGCGCCACGGAGGCCCGTTGGTACCTTGTAATCGTTGGAAAATCTGCTGCTATTTTCCTTCTCGTGGCTGCAGTCTCCATAAAAAACATGAAACATACGTCTGGCAAGCTGCACTGGCTTGTGCAGTGCTTTGTGACCAGTGACTAAGACAATACAAATATCTGCCGCAGAAGAGACGGATCAGCAGCTCCAGAAAGCTTCAGGAAAAAAACATTGAATTTTCAATGGAGACTGCAGCGGCGCACAGACAAATAACACCAAACGTCCTGGAAACCGGGAGACTGCATCTCATCACAGAAACAAACCACTACATAGCCACAGAAACTTTTAGTGAATGTAGACGGCTGAATTAATTACGCAGGCAACAGAAAAATGCTCGCAAACGTGTTTGCACCTTCTCCTTCACCTATCCATCCATTTACCAGTTTATGCCTAGTAACTACCCAATCAATGATCGATATCAACCATTGGGAAAGCCGTTGAGCTGGCTTGCAAGCCAACGCCTTCCCGATTCTGGGAATTGAGCGGCGCTCTGTGCGGCGTCTCACGGTGCAGATGCTGGCCCACCGCGCGTCCCCAGTCGGCGTTAATGTCCGTCGTGAGTAGATAACTGTCGCTGTCTGCGGCCGCGCGGCCGCCGAGAACCGGCGAGGGCGTGGGAACGGTGAGGACCGGGTCGGACGGGCAGGTACCCGCGGCCCCCGAAACTCGGAACCAATCACTGCGACATCAAGCCTCTATGATTGCTGTGACCCCGTGTGACCAAAGCTCATTCAATACAGCCACAGTTCTTGCCTGTAGAAACCAGCGCAAATGCATAACATTAAGCAATTGCATCCATCGCGCGCTGGGTGTGAGAGCGTTCTGTAAGATCACCCAAGCGTTTCTAATCCCTCGTGCTGTTGAGCCATAAAGACATCGGCCCCTGGTAGAGCTCTGCAGTCTGCATCCCATCAGCAGTCGTCTTCTCTGCGCAGCGAACCAACAACAGCTGTTGCTGGTAATGCAGAACGCCGCCGGCTGACGGATCGATGGGCCGTTCGATCGAGTCGATTGGACCGCCCGCGAACAGGTGGTCGCCAGCCGTCCCAGCTCCCTCCCCGTCACCAGGAGAGGGGGTGGGGGAGGCGGTGGTGGCGGATTAGCCAGAGAGTTACACGGGTGGACAACTGGGCCGGCGGCGGTAGTCGGGATAATCTGTGGATCTGCGGATTTAGGAGCGAGAAGTCAGCGCTGGAGTCGCGCGTTGATTATGCTCAACTATCGAGATGTAGGAATTTTACCAGAGACTACCATTCCTTGATTAAAATGCCTGGTGTTTTGGCTGGTTGGTTCATAGTCATCTATCGACAGCGCCGTTTAATTTGCAAACACGATCACCAACGGTATAATATATTTTACTTAAGGTAATGAGTCCCGAGGGACTCGACATCCGGCGCCCCGATGCATGGCCCTTTGACACCTGGCGCGATTCGTCTTTGAACACGACGTAGTCACTGGAATTATTGCGTCACCGACACGGACGGAGTTACCGCGCCACAGAACGACAGGCCGCCGGGACGACCCGTTCCGCGGCCAGCTCCGTATGTTCGCGGCCACTCTGCACGCATTCGGCTCACATTCGGCCATGGCTCTCGCACTCATCAGATCTGTATTGTCTTAAACTTACACCGACATCTTGGCATATCCCAGCTCAGCTCATCCCTAGACTTGAGAACGCTCAACGTACAACCATCGCCCTATCACGCACACAGAATGAAGAAAGCACAGCGGGCAACACCGCTGCCTTTTCATAACGGCGATACTGGTAACTAGATTGCATGGCCTGAAGTCCGTTATATGAACTGCCAGGACGACAGAAACTTTTTAACCGAGAAAATACCCACCATTCCTTTATGCCCGGTATGCCAGTCTCACCAGCTGGTGAGAGAGATAATTTCATCTGTTGATTATCGTGTCGCAAATCGTTGCAGTGTGCACATGTGTGACAGCCGACAGGAACTGGCTCATTCTTCTGTTTAAGTGGTTGTATAGGTATATTTAGGATCATTGGTGAGAACTAGACACTCCAAAGGCGACAATTTGTTGACACATTTTCCTTCAGTCTAAATATTCACAACATCATACACATTTTTACATGCTTACGAGTACACACGACTGACCAAGGAATATCAACACGCAGCATTTCGCCACATTTACGGGAGCATAACCTTCCTTGGGACAGTGTTCTATTGACACATTTCATACCACCAATATCTAAAGTGGGACGAGCCATTT